ACCAAACGTGGAACTACAGAATATCTGTGTTTTGTTATTTGCTTTTTATATCACTAAAACACAGTGAAGTCACTCAAGTTCCGATTATTTACTAAATATTTTATTTGAAGATTTGTATCCTATCTTTCCTGTAAGGAGACCATGGTAGCTTATGTGATCTGCCTTCTCTCCGTTTTATCTTCACAACAACTCTGTGACATAGGCTAGGTTAAGAGTCAGTGAAAACCACCCAGTGACCTTCATGGTTGGTTGGGCTAGAAACTGCATCTTTATCTAGAGCTGGGCTGAAAGGAGGAGGGTTCCTTGGCCTCAGGGCTCAGTGACTCCCCTGCTGGGCAGTTTGGGCCTGTGGCAAAGTTCAGCTGGACCAGTGGGAGCCTGGCATTGTTTCTTTTTGAAAGGAATCCTGAGGAAAAAAGGCAGGGAATGTCACCCCCTCCTCCCAAATACTGTATGTACCAAAAGAACCATGCTGTTTGGTGCTAATGGGGGAAGCAGTAGAGGTACATTTGTGAACATCTAGGCATGGAGTTGGGCATTTGGGTCATGCACAGTGTTTTGAACAGTTTCGGCACTACCACCAATGATAGACATAAACAGATATTCACGTATAAGAGGCCTCAGGAACGGTCTTCCAAATTTTATCTACACATCTAGCAAAGATTACAAATTTGCCATTGTCTTTCAATATTTCTTCATTGTTGCCTAAACATTATGTTGCAGAAAACTTGGCAATCTAACTGAATAAAGCATTCCAGCCAGAGCACCAGAACTAAACAGATGGCCAGAACATTTTGAAAATGAGGCTAACCCTGGCCTGTGCTGGAAGGGCTAACTCTCTTCACCCTCTTTCTTAAAATTAAATTGAGATGTGTCCTGAAACGGCTGCCATGTGACAGTATCTCATTAGCACATTTAATGTGTAAATGCTGGCTGGCATGGAAATGTGACATTTGCTTAATGAGAGTTTGCCTGATGGAACCCACAGGTGACAGTTTAATGAACTGTTGGTGAGAGTGGCAAGAAGGAGGAATTGGTGAACACCTCTTTGAGATAAGCTTGTAGATTACTATGGTTACTGACTTTTAAATCTCTATTCCCTGACAGCAGCATATCCATTAAAAACAGGCAAAGCCATTTTTCTTCCTGTTTCTGAAAGGTTTTAGCAACATTCATGGCCTACTGGTGAATCTAGCCTTTGAAAAACAGGTTTGTTCATTTGGGGCAAGCAGTAAAATGGAAAGACGACAAGAAAAAACATGTTTTATAATAGCAAAATGGAAAGGCACTAGATCAAATATAGCTTCTCTTTATTGATGTCATTTCAAGAAGGCAGTTGTGTTAGCCTGTTGTAGAAAAAAACAATGAAACATCTTGTGACACTTAAAAGATTAACAATTTTATTCCTATATATGTTTTTGTGGACTATCAGCTGAAATGGGCTATACTCCATGAAAATCATGCCAGATAGATGAGTCAGTCTTTGAGGTGCCACAAGACATTCTCTATTGGCCACATAATGTGGTACAGGTATTTATTCACTTATCTTTACAGAATCCAAAATGCAGTTAATTTTTGTTGGGGAACACAGACAGATTACTTTGGGGAGGTGGGGGTTGGGGGAAGGTGCTTGATAGCCTCACAATTTAATAAAAATGGACCACATATTGCAAAGATTTCTCAACTCATGGTTTTCCCAAGCATTTCTACAGAATCTCAGAAGTGTAGAACTAGAAGCAGCACCATGAATCAATTGTTTTACTTCAGCATATTCTGCTCCTGAAGTCTATACTTTGACAGATGCTACCACCACACTGTCTTTGAAAGTGTTCACCAAGGCTTATTGGAAGACTTTTTGTAATCACTAAATGCTGCTACAGCATTCAACTAGCAATACTTTCTTTTTTAAGCTATGTTTGCAGTTTGTTGAGAGCTTTTTTTTTTTTTTTACTAAGAATTCTTTTAGATAGTGAATCAACTTGATGAAAAAACATGAGGATGCTGTTCTGAGATAAGGAAAATGATGCCACAAATGTGTGCAAGACAGATTACACATTTCTAATGTTAACATCATAGAGGGCAAGATGCTCTGCATCACACTTTCAGAGATGGAATCTAGAATATTTGTATTGCAAACCCAACACGCCAATAGGCCTACTGAATTACAAGATGATACACAGCAGCAATGGTCAGAGCCTCCACCTCAAAAAAATCACCTCCCACATCAACTTTTCGAGCTATGCAGAGACTCACCAGTATTGCTACACTCATGCAGATGCATTTATTCTTATTTGTACCTTAACTTTACACAAAAAATATTATTCAAGGAGGCTTCCAATCTGGAAGACGATCATACCTACTGCTTGCATATAATGCTGCTGTAGTTCCAGACCAGGGGGTCGGCAACCTTTAACACTCAAAGAGCCATTTGGACCCGTTTCCCACACAAAAGAAAACACTGGAAGCCACAAAACCCTTTTGACATCTAAAATGAAGATAACACTGCATATATCATTTTTTACCTTAATGCTATGTATATCTTCATTATGATTTAGCTGCAGCTCTTGTTCAGTCACTAAAACTGTTATTTTTAATCTTACATTATAAACTAGTAGGACTCCTTTCATATATTTTGAATAGAACAGCTTCCTGCAGAGTCAAAGTCAGTGCTAAAGGGCTGCATGCATTAAACAGCAAACCCCATAAGTTCATCAGCAGTAAAAGCAAATGAATCTACCCATGTATCATCAAACGTTTGATTTTCTTCAGAAACTTTTCTTCGATTTATCCAAGTAAATCGCCATGGGTCCACAGATCAGCGGCTGTTCCAGAGATGATATAGGTGTGTTTAGTGACTGATTACTCAAGTGTTGTGAATTGTGACAGGTCCCAAGTGCAGCTTTTAACATTCAGATGAAGGAGATTACATTGGGACAAAGAGAATCCTTTCAGTTTCGTGTAACATGAAAGCCTGCAGGAAGTTTGTTTAGCAGAGGAATGTAGTGATTTATTTAACTAGCTGATTTACTAAACTAGCTAGTGTTCCTGAGTGGCGCTTTGAGCAGATCAGCGACTGGACTGTGCCGGCATGTGTTTTGAGTGACGGAGCCACAGCAGAGGGGTTCAAGAGCCATGTGCAGCTCTGGAGCCGTGGGTTGCCAACCTCTGTTCTAGACTATTAAAAAGTTCTTCCATGGAACCAACTTTGCTTCTCTTTTAAGAGTTTATCTGGCTTACAGAGCAAGGTGTAACTGTCTTTGTCAAAACTGCATACATATCATAAATTAAGTCAGGTAGAGGAAGCAGAGCTGGTTCCATGAACAACAAATAGGAGTTCTTTAGCAAGCAAGCATCAGTTAGTAATAGGTGTCAGTAAGCAAGTTATTTTCCCATTCGCAAGAATATACACTTTGATACATGCTCTACTAAAATCAATGAGTTATGCATTCACAAATTAGTTTGAGGACTGTTGTGTTTACTTTGTACCTCCACTTCTGTAACTTCTACTGAGTTGTAACTGGATTACTGTCGTCTTAATATGATATTATGAAAACTTAAATCTTTTCTTAATGATGATCGTGCTTTGTATAAATAGCTCTAGTATATTGAAATTAGTATTCAGAGTGACTATTTTTTAGAAAGGAAAAAAACATAATTTCATCACACTGTGATTACTCATTCTCTGTATGTGGTACAAGAAGCTTATCGGATGAAGAAATATATTTTGCAAGACTAAGGTAATAAAGATCACATATTATTCTTGGCCAGCACTGGCCTAGAGATGACTCAAAATACAATTACAGGCAAACTATTGTTATTTCTTGTATTTTAATTTTATGTTGTGAGCCGCCCCGAGGCTTCGGCGAATGGGGCGGCATAGAAATGTTTTAATAAATAAATAAATAAATAAATAATAAACTATCAACAGTTTCTTTGGTAAAAGGAAGGTAAGTTGGTCTAGATAATAAGTTGGCCTGGGGCTGGAATATCTGAAGGAATGCCTGGCCCATATTAAGATTTTCAGTGGAGGCCCTTCTGCATAAGCCGCCGACAAAGTGAAGGGGAAAACGACTAGAAGGGCCTTCTCCATCATGGCCCTTCACTTGTGCAACACTCTCCCTAAACAAACGTGCTTGGTGCCCTCACTACTTAGTTTTTGCCACCAGGTTAAGATGTTTTTATTTAACACTTGTTTGTAGAAGCTACTCTGCTTTTATCCTGTTGTTATTGCTGCTTGCTTCTTATGTTGTCTTGCTGTGTATATTATATAATCTTGAATTTTATTCTACACATTTGCTTTCATTGTTTTAATTTTGATTTTACTGTTTCATTCTTGTTTTATGTTGGTTGTCCATGGTTTTTATTGTAAGCTGTCCAGAACCTCTGGGCTATAGGGCAGCGAATGAATGAATGCTACTAACTGTTTACCTGGAATCTCCACTTAAAAATGGGAAGAGAATACAGGCAAAGTTACAGCAATATATCCATAGGATATGGATATATTATCCATAGGCTATATTGCTGCTGTCTAAATGTACATGGGTTTGCTTAGATCCCCAGCATACTTCTTTGGAAGCAGATATAAGTTGAATTCAGTGAAACATACTATAATTAAATAGATTGAATAGAATGCTGAATTTGACCAGAGGCTGGGCATCAGTACAGAAACTGGAAGACATCACAGGTGCTTGCTTTTCAGCAAGATGGATAGAATGTAGGAAAGAAACCAGGTGTGATCTATTTGTTGATCAGATCATGGGATATATGTCTTTCCTGTGAAGACTTCCTTGTATTACTAGCCTTTTAAAATGAAGACTGTGTACAGAACTGTAGCTTTGAATATTTCTGATGCCTGTCTGATTTGAACCTCAAATAGTGACTGTTTATAATCAATCTTTGTAAGCCACTTTGCTAGCTATTGGTGCAAGTGCATTCAGACTGAAATTTCATTACTGCAAGAACCTATTTGCCTTTTGTTATTTAACAATAAGAAACTATGGTACAGTTCCAAATCGCATAACAATTTAATTGCATAGTAAAAATACCACAGATGATTTCAGTACCCATTCCATTTCGATTCCATCCCTGCATTCTGAAACAACGTTAATCATGAAGAAATTATGTTCAGAACTTCAAAACACCGAACTCTGGGCTTTTTCCATAATCAGTTTCATGGTACAGTCAATAAACCTTCCAGTCCCACTTCATGAAAAAAATGCTGACTTCTCTGGGTGAGAGACAGGATCAAGGTGATCCATTATTCCTTCTAGTTGAATGACAGGGAACTGTACTTGCTTTTCAAACCATTTGGCTACTGTGAGAAGCTGAGCCTCATGGAAAGCACGGCCAATAAACTGCAGCCCAATTGGTAAGCCTTTGTCTGAGAGTGCTGAAGGAACATTTATAGCTGGCAGGCCTGAAATATAAAATGCATAATTATTTGCATCATCTGGTACGAACACATGATCCAACAGAACAGGAATATATGCACATGACAAATCTTTAGCTTTATAGATTTTCCAAACTGAAATGAACTACTGACATTTCTTTATCTTATTTCTTCTTAAAACAAACCTTTATTACCATTTTGCTTTTACGGCCATTGAGCTGAGTGGTTTCCAAAGTCACCCAACAAGACAAGATCAAATCAATGATTTACAGAAGATCTCTAGCTTCTGAAGGTTGATTTAATATGATCCATCAGATTGGCCTTTATTCTGCACTTGACTAAATGGTCATATTCCAGTTTATATGGTCATCTTGACTACCTCCAATTTTTTGTTTAGTATATTTATATCTCATCTTTTAGGTGACTTACATCATTCTTCTCATCCTCCCATACTTATCCTCAGAACAGCAAACCTGTGAGATAGGTTGGTCTGAGAGCCTGTGACTGGTCCAAAGGGACCCAGTGAACTTCATGGGTGAGTGGAGACTAGAACCCAGACTGCCTGAGCCCCAGTCCTGCACTCTTAACTGCTACACCACACTGACTTTCAACATTTGATAAATGTTTTAAATATATTACATCATGATTTGACAACAGCTGTCAATTTAGTGCTGTATGCATAACTAACATGAAGATGTGTTTTGAAAATATCCCACCTTCCATTCAAGTCCAATGATAAAAAAGCAGAACTCATTTCACTTTTATGGGACTAGGATACACTTATTTTTTCAGAGGCTAACAATCACAGAAAGTGGCTTAAGCATACACAAAAGTATAGCACCACATGCTCTTTATTCAGGAATCAAGAAGAAGGAACAGAAACAGCTCTACTCCAAGTCCCTCCCTCATCTCAATCATGATGGGCTAATCAATATCTACATGTTGAATTGTCTCAACAAGTAGCAGGCCTTGTCAAAAGCTAATTAGAACAGGTCAAAGTATAAATAACATCATACAATAAAGCTAGAGTAGCTCTTTCCTGCCTGGTAGCAAAATAGTTGCCTTTCGTCCAGAAATTCCAAGAAGTATAGAATTTCTACTTGATCCAGTCATTGCATTGGTGACATATAAAGAGATAACTATTTAGCTAGGACTGAACGCTAGTTTGTGATATCCTAAGCATTTATCATATATTTAAAATATTTTAACTTGCCTTTCAGGATGCACTGCCATCACAAGGAGGCTTACAGTATTATTAAAAAATGTGAAGGTACAAATCACAATTAAACAGGCTCAAATGCCAATAATAGGAAGCTAATGCTTTTACAGCACCTGATACAGGCAGGAATAAATGTGTCTTCAGGTGTTACATAGAAACAGAGCTAGTCAGAAGGGGTGTTCTGACTATCTAGACTAGACAGGGGTCAGACTATCTCCCGGGCTATCTAGTCTGACCCCTGGCTCCAGTTGGCTCTGCTCATGACATGCCTACCATGTGTATGACTAGCCTATTTTTGAACACCCGCACTGATGGGGCTTCAACCAGCTTCTGCAGAAGCCCATTCCATACCCCAGGGGTCCTAACTGTCAGGAAGTACTTTCTGGCATCCACCTTGAATCTTGGATCCCTGAGCTTTGCCCCATTGGAACACGTCCTGCCCTCTACTGCACGGGAAGAAGAGTCATGACCCACCTCTGTCTGACACCCCCTCACATACCTGTATGTTGCTAACAGGTCCCCTCTGAGTATCCCCTTCTCAAGGCTAATCCATCAGACAGTGCATTGGTCTATCCCAAAACTCCTCAATTTCTTAACCAGGATATCATGTGGTACTTTGTCAAACGCCTTGCTGAAATCCAGGTAAACCACATCGACTGTGTCCCCTCCATCTAGCCACCTTGAAAACTTGTCATAGAATTCCACAAAGTTCATCTGGAAGAACCTGTTTTTGCAGAAGCCGTGTTGTGTGGCCACCAATCTCCCTTCCCTATTTAGGGACTCTAGAGCAGTCTTTCCATTGTCTTTCCCAGAATGGACATAAGGCTAATGAGCCTGTAATTCCCCATGTCCCCTCCACTACCCTTTCTGACAAATGGGACCATTAATGCCACCCTCCAGTCCTCTGGAACCTCACCCGTTCTCCATGAGGTCTCGAAAAAGGAGCCAGCAGTCATGAGAGTACCCCTGCCAACTCCCTAAGTACCCTTGAGTGTAATCTATCAGGGCCTGGCACCTTTGTAACATCCAGTGCCCTGAGGAGCTCCTCGACTTCTAGGGGAGTGACCCTAATCTGTGCCCCTAAATCCCTGGCCTCATCTGATTGCCCCATGCAGATCTCCCCCATCCCGCTTTGGGGAGAACGCATAGGTAAAATGGTCACTTAGCATCTGTGCCTGTTCCCTTACATCAGTCACCATGTTGTCACTTTTTTTAACTGTCGTTATGAGGCCATGCATATTTTCCTGGGGGTGGGGAGAGTTGCAAAGGTGTGGAGCCACCACTGAGAAAGCCCTGTCCTCAGTATCTGCCAGCCAGATGGCTCTATGAAGACCTCGACAGTAGGTCCTCTGATGCTGATCTTAAAGCTTGGGTAGACTCATATAGGTGGTCCTTCATGTAATGTGATCCCCAAATGTTCAGAGCTTTAAAGCTATGACTTTGAATCGAGATCAGAAACTAACAGGAAACCAATGTAAACAATGCAGAACAGAATGAATATGTGGACTGTGGACCTGAGAGATCCAGGTTCTAGTCTCCATGTAGCCGTGAAGCTCACTGGGTGACTCACTGGGCTAGTCAGAAACTGTCAGCCCAACATACCTTACAAGTGGTTTTTGTGAAGATAAAAATGGACTGGAGAACTTTGAAAGCTGCCTTTGGTTCCCCACAAAAGGAAAAGGGTGGGATATAAATGCAGTGTAGTCGTCATCATCATCACCCAACAAGTGTACAGTTGGACTGTCTTCAAGGGCAACCCCATGTAAAGCATGTTACAGTAATATAGTTTGGATGTAACCAAGGCATCTGTCAGTGTAGCTGCCCAACCTTCTAGATGGGTTGCAGCTGCCAAATCAGCCTAAGCTGGTAAAAGGCACTAAAGTGGAGCTTGAGCTTTTTCAAACAGAAGCAAGTAATGTCAAGCTGGCCAGAGCTCATCAGATGTATCCATAGTACCATCACATTTAATATGTTTGGAGTTTTCCAGGAAGTTGGGTAATTAGACTCATTTAATTGTTAACCTAGCAGAACCAAATCCTGAAGCTGCTCATATGTTTCTGAGATGAAGTCTTAATATATATCCTGTGAATCTGCCATATATATTGCAACCATGGAGGATATGGGGTGGATGCAGAATAAAATGGTCCTAGACCACTTTGATATGTTTTATTTTAGGGCAATATTTCAAGAACCTTATTTTCCTGTTGTTTGGAAGTCTCCCATAATGCTGCACAAAGATGATGGATTGCTTTAAACAACTGATTCAAGAAATGAAAATTATCGTTAACAAAAGTGTTAGACTCATGCACACTTCCTTACCAGCCATGTTTACAGCCTGAGTGAAAATGTCATCCTGCACGCTGCGGGTTCTGTTGTCTTCTTTGATGAACTCTGCGTATGGCACAGAATGGCTCAGAGTAGTTGGAGTGAGCAGAATATCAACACCGGAACTAAATAGCTTTGTAAAATCAGTGGCGATGAGTCTTCGGACCTTCTGGGCTTTGACAAAATAATTCTCATAGTTCCTAGAGGGGGAAAAGGGTTTTGTGAGAACTGGAAACAGTGAAGTGAGTCATTGTAGTCTTGTAGCACAGATGGGTGGGTAACAATTGCAATAAAACATTCAGTTTCTTGAGCCTACTGCTAAAACTAAATGCATGCGTCAAAGTACTGTGGCAGCAGCCTTGACTTTTCAACCAAGCATACAAGCGATCTCCATTCTCAGAAGTGAAGTTTATTCCTAAAAAGTTAGTCATGAAACTTTCAGATGACCAGTTTACTCGATGCTAATCTTTTTCCCAGTGTTAGTTTAGTATTATCATTCTGCCAAGGGGTAAGGAATTAATAAAGCACAGTTGCAGATATATAGTACTGTTCACTGAGCATGGGTCATGTAGCATTGGACCTAAAATCTTGTTGTAGGTGTTTTCTCATGCTGTGCCATGTTATTCATGTACTATACTTCTACTATTAGCGATCTTTTTCACCTTCACCATGTACTATTAGAAGGATGAACAAAAAAGCCACCCACCTTTCCCTGCCCATCTTTAATTGTCAAGTGCTACTGATCCTAGTATATCACTGAAGACCTTTTTGAAAGTGTTTCTGTACCATCATATTTTAATGAGGTTAGGTCTGAAATGATTGCCATAATCCATTAAGAAAGAACATGCTGGATTTCCTTTAGATTTCCCTGTCACAGATCACAGGCTAAACGGTAGCGTGACCTGAATGAAGGCACCCATGTTTACTCAGAAATTAAGCCTCATTGAGTTTAACAGCACTTATTTCCAAGTGAACAGTCAAAGAATTATGAAATAGCCATTTCAATCAGTAGTTCATGCAATCCTAAATATTTATGTCTTGTGTATAATAACCACAACACAGATGTCAGAAACAGCTGTGGATATGTTGTGGCAATGCACTGTAACAGCAGGTGGTACACTCCACCCTAATGTCAAGAAATAACACTCCGGGAAAACTGAGCTAAGTTTAAGTATTTGGTAAGCGTCCCCTTCTTAGCATAGAGCAGAAGGGTGATTCAAAACAGTGGTCTTTTCTTTTCCTGTATATTTTCCTGGCAAGGCTGAGGTGGCTTAACCCTAACCCTAACCCTCACACAGGCCAGAGGAATTTCTGGCAGGAGTTCTTCCAGCCCCACCTGGAGATACTGGGGATCGAGATGGGATCCTCTGCAGGCTAGGCATGTCCTGGTAATAGAGTGGCTTTCTTGGGGCAAGGGATGTAAAACAACGATCTGGGTCCTTTCTGTTCAGTCATCTAAATGGGGCTGATAGGATGAAGTCAAAACCTGACCTGCTAAATCAGGAATATACAGCCAGGTTCCGCCAAATGTTCTGAAATATTATTCCCATAATCCCTCACCGTTGGCCACAGCTGCTGGTCGCATGTGAGCTGTAGTCCAAGGCAGCTGAAGGGCAGCAACGTGCCTGTCCCTGAGGTAAACCACTCTTACCTATTTGGATGCCAAGATCTGAATTAGAAAAATTAAAATATATGTTCCTGACTAGGAGGGGACACAGCAGAGAAAGAAGAAAAAAGTCACCTATTAGGTTATGCACTATTTTAGAAAACAGTCTTTTGCTGCCTGTTACAACTACAGCAGTATCAGCGATAATAATATTGCCTTAACTAGGTGGAAAAATCTGTCTGGCATGAGTAATTTCACCCTTAACTGAACAACAAATAAAATGCTGGCTTTGTAAGTTTGGACTTTAAAATGTGCTGAACTTACTGTTTTAGCAAGAAGTAGTTTCCTGATAGAATTCTTCCCCTTACAACATCATTAAAACCTTCCCGGCGTGTTGCTGCAATCAAGGCTTCAGTGGACTCGTCAGCAGTGCTGCGGTGTCCTAGCATGAAAAGTTCCCAGCAATTTGGAAACACATTTAAAAAACTATTCCAAGTTACTTCATGAATAAACAACAGGGATGAACATACTGTACAGAATAAAAGTATTTCAGAGGTTCTGATACTGTTGATATATACAGCCATGTGTCAGATATTCTGTTCATTCATGGACAAGAAAGTAAACTCTTCCAAACAGGTTTCAACAGCAGATATCTGGGATAGCTATTCAGACTACAGCTGGGCTGAATTTTCCTTGCTGAACTTTCTTTGCTTTCTGGCTTGAAAACAAACATCTGAGGAGCCTGAAATCCTCAGCTAAAGAATCTTGGAAGTGTACCTTTTAAATGCTTTTCCACACATTGTGGTCTTGGAGCAATTATATTTCTCAAATAATTCAAATTTTTTAACATTGACATATATACAGTAGAGTTGTGTAGGCACTGTATTTTGCCTCATGATAGTCACAAATGTTCTGAAGACGGGCTGTTCCACTACATAAACATTTAGGATGAAGTGTGCTGAAAGTTAACACTCTGCATTGCAAAGCACCACTGGTCTAGCAGCATCAGTTACAGAGGCAGAATGTTTTACATTCCAACACAAATGTTTTGAATTAGGGCCAAGACTTGTTCAGCTTTGTTGTTCCTCCATCCCCCACCCCCAGAGCAAAATCCTGGGAACAGGAATTTGGGAGTTAAGGTGTCAAACTACAATATTTCAATTGACTTGGCAGTAAAAAACACACTGAGAGAGTGAAACCAACCAGGACTCATTGTCTTTGATCAGGAAGTAGAGATATTTCAGTAACACTGTATTCCCTCATCAGTTGACCTTGAGTACAGACTAACAATTGAGCTGAACAATGTATGTACTCTGTGCTGCAGTCAGAGCACGCTCTTCAAAGGACACAGCTGAGACAACATTTCTCTCATAACAAAAACATGCTCCCAGGAATAACAATAATATAGACACTTCATCCACCAACAGACCTCACTGAAGTCCATAAGAGACTTTCCATAGCACAAAAAAAGCTTTGGCAAAGATCTAATCTTTCTCTAATTACAGGGCACATCAGATATGTTGGCCCAGAGTTAGCTCTGTGGCAGGTTGTGCATTTCTCTTGACACCATTAATAGAGCTACGTTTACTCAATTAGCCTCATGCTGTGTGCTGTAACTCACAGACAGGAGAAGATAAAAGCCCCTTCCAGGTATTTCTTCCTTTGGTTCTGAATACAGGATGCCCAACACCACTGCATACTACACAGCTTGTTTGCTGTTGGGTAACAGGTCTTAACCAACTTTCATTATTCTTTAAAATATTGACGAGTGATAAACAAACAATCCCTATGTTTATGCCTGACTGTGGCAGTTGATCCAAACCAGGCAGCTGCCGGGCATTATGTTCTTTTTTTTTTTGACTCTGCTGTGTGTAGAAACTGCTTTGTCCAACAACTTCAGACACCAGCCATTTCCATATAAAATGCCACTGTACAACCCAAACAAGTAGCAAACTAGGCCTAGCCTAGGTAAGAAGAGCCCTATAATGGGTCTTTGTGGGAAAGGGAATTGCCCTTCTCCCAGAAATGGGGCATCATTCCATGATCCTTAGTCAATTTTTTTTGCTGGTATCTCAGAAGGGTGAGGAAGTATACCAAAGCTAGGCTTGATCCCAGTGGAACCTTTAACCTTTCTGGGCCATAGATAGCTGCCTGACCTTATTGAGTGCTGGCCCTTACATTGAGTCAACCAACCCATACACCTGTATCCACAAATTCCATTTTCATCTTTTATGCCTTGAGAAAGGATGGGCAAGGCAGGAGAAGTAGCACTGAGTTTTGTGCCTTTGCAAGGAAACATTCTTCTCTTTCTAGATGTGTAATCTGAACAATGCAAACATCCTTGTAATTGTACCCTGGGCCAGTTCTACACATAATTTTGGTACAGACATAGCAAAGAATGCTTGTCAGCTTTGGACTATGGTAAACACTGCCTATTACTGTTCTTATAAATCTGGCCAGTTACAGAAGCCTACACAGATCTTATGCAGCTCATGGAATGCCAATTTAGATAAATACTCATATGTGATACCATACCCCAGCTATCCTCGTTAATAAAGTTTTTATTACATTGGCAGGAAATGAATGTGCTTATCTTACATATGTCTTTGAACGAGAGAAGCCTTACCATACCGCAGACCATCAAATCTGGCCATGTTTGAGGCTACTTCTGCTGCACACAGCACATGGTAGCAGACAATGGAGTAACAGGTATGAGGCAGGCTCACATCCATCACTTTGGCACCTGCTTTCTCAAAGAGGTCAGCTGCCTTCGACCACACTGTCAGAGTTTCGTTTGACAATCCTGGGATATTGTATTCCTTGAGAATGGAGGAGAGGGGAGGAAGCATAATTCCACAAATGTACATGCATTTTCTCATCAGAGCTGGAATTCTCAAAAAATACTCAATGGTATGGTGAAGGAAACTCCTAAGTGCAAATAAGCATTTATCTTTCTCTTTTTCTCTCTTGCTGCCTCTCTCTTTGAATATTTTCCTTCTTTTCTTTCTAACTTTTCCTTTTAAAAATTACTATGGAATGTTTCCCTTGGCAGAAACTTAGGGCAACATTTAGTGGCAGACTCAATATCAGCTGGCAGGTTGCTTCAGAAGTCAGCCTGTCTTTGTGACTTGACCTGCGAGTGACTGGGATGAATTCTAGCCCAGGGGAAGAAAAGCTGGGAGCTAACTGACAACAGCAGAGTGAAGCACTCCTGCGACAGTTTTTCACCAGCCTTCAGGCAGACCGAGGGGTTTTAGGGTAGTAAAAACGGTAATAGGGGTAACTGACAAACCAATATTGAGTCTTTATCATCTGTGGTGAATCATTATCACATGTAAGGCTCAATTCCACATTCAGGGATGAGCCAAACACCATAATGATGCTTCTGCCTCCCCTCCCACCCCTGCATAAATCTTTCATTAAAATATTCCCTCAAAGCAGAACAAACCCCCACTTAGAAGTTGGGCTTCCACATCACTGTGGCCCAATGGCCTGGTGCCTTGCTCATGCCAAAGCCAGAATGGGTGACACTTGCCTAAGCAGCCAGTCTGGTGTAGTTTGTCATGTAAGCTGAACCATCATGACTTATTGGAGGGGAAACAACCCTCTAATAACTCATGGGCTGTTGTTACATTATTTCAGGGTTGTTTCTCTTAACAACAAGTCAGGTTGCCCAGATTCAGATGTCCAAACACTGCAGCTTAAGTAAGCTATTGCAGATATTTTTAGATAACCATGAAAAAACATGATGTGCACATGGTGGGCATGTCGTGAGTGGAGCCGGCTGGTGCCGGAGGTCAGACTAGATGGCCCAGGAGACCCCTTCTGACTCACTCTGTTTCTATGTTTCTAAAACATAGAAACATTAAAACAATAATAGAACAATAAGGATAACAATAGATTTACATAATACTCAGACCTTACCATTTCACCTATCTCCTTTGGTTTACCTAAGCGCTGTCGAACAGAAGGAGTTATATGTTTCCACTATTTACTGATAATGAGGTTTTAATTGCAGCCAATAATACATTTAATAACTTAAAATTTCCTTGTGTTTGTAATTGCATATTGCATGCTTTACAGTTTCTATCCCATTTTCAGTCTTCTGGTGTAGAAAAAGATAGCATGATAAACTGTAAGTGTTTGAGTTATATGCTTGTCAACAAATTGTGTTCGCTTTGTATTAAATAAAGATAATACTGCTTTCAATTATTCAAAGAATTCAAAGTATTCCTCAACATATTTGGGTGACAGGCATTCAGTGAGTGCTTCTTATTCCCAAAATGTATGGTTGGTAATGGAAGTCCCAAAAGAAGAAACGCTCTCCAAGGTATATATTCATTCCATCTAAAAGTGTTGAAGTGGTGCAGACGCAACATGAAATGTTACATATTTACAGAGCTGAATGGTAATGAATGATATATAGTATTATTCCTTAAACCAGGAGCAGGGAACTTGTGGCCTTCCAAATTTTGTTGGACTGAAATGCCCTCGTCCCTGACCATTGGCCATCACCTGAGTGTGTTCGTCAGACAGCAACCGGCTTCCTTAGACCTGTCTTAAGCAGCAGTTCAACAGATTAAACATATCACTGTCAAGCCAGAAGTGATAGGATACCATGACTATTTTGTAATTTAGGTTCAAGGTTATTTTTTCCTGCCACTCACCAATTGCATGCCACATACCTTGGGTATGCCTATGCAAAGATTCTTCATATCTAGCAAATTGGGGAGCTGAAATGGGTGAAAAGGGTCTTGTACTGTGGTTGAATCTTTTGGATCATGCCCTGCAAGAACACCTGAAAGACATAAAAAGGCTAATTAGCTAGAGGAAAGAGAGAGGGTTACTGAATTAAACTATCTTTGGGATAACTGCTTAGGGATATCTATAAGTGTGTGTGTGTGTGTGTGTGTGTGTGTGTGTGTGTGTGTACAGTACCTAATACAGTGGCTGCATCATCCACACATCTGGTTAAAATGCCAGGAACATCCATAGAGTTAACAAGTGGAATGAGACCGTGCCGGGACACCAAGCCATAGGTTGGTTTCAAACCAACAAGTCCACAGTGAGCGGCTGGATTTCTAGTGGATCCTCCTGTATCAGATCCCAGGGCCCTGTGGTGAGGAACAAATAACGGCAATCAGAAGCAACCTCTGTATCGCACCCCATCATCTTATCATGTTCCCAACAGATGATCAGGCTCACTGGGGCATGCCTGCTCCTTCCTTCCCTCTCAGTCCTCAAGCAAGGATCCCAGTGCCCTCATGGCACAACCTGTCTTTTCTCCCTCATCCCCTAACAGGGAATGTGACAGGTATACTTGTACCCAAGCCAGTTGCTGCAGCAGAGATAAGACAAAAGTACAGGGCAAAAATCACACATTCTGAAATGAATATATCACTCCATAATCTAAAAAGAGACTTTGCTGTACCAGCAAATGGTATCACTGAAGCACCAAAGAATTGTGGCCACTCAGTTTTTTCTGTACAGGAACCCTCCTACTTGACTGAAAGAAATTGCTGAAGGATGTTGCCGACTATTTTATTTATTTATTTAGCAAGCTTCTATGCCGCCCCGTTCACCGAAGCCTTGGGGCGGCTCACAAAGTTACATAGTAGTTACATGAATGACATTAGCTGGCCTCTAGTGGCATCTGTGCCATTCTTGGCCAGAAAGCATTACAACACCTATGAGTGGCATATCTTCTTCAGGCCCCTCTCACCAACCACATGCATCCACCAATCTGTTTCTTGTTTTTACTAAATACAGTGAAACAAGATGGTACTTACCTAACAGTAACTTGTAATCTCTTTCCACTGAATATGTGGTTACCTATAAAGTGCTTGTTCTAAGACAAAAAACACTAAGTAGCATTGATTTAACCTGTCTGTGAAATGCCTAGCAGAAGGGCCTTCTTGCATCAGTGATACATGCTTGTTATGAAGAAATTCAGCAAGAGTACGGTTCATATCATACACAGCTCCTTTTTCTGGAGTTACAGGAAGCATCTTTCTGCCACTCTTCCTCAGTTAAAGCACAGGAGGCCCTAACAGATCAGCAACAACAGAGAATGGTTGGAAGGCACATGATACGGTTCCGTCATTAAGAGGTTGGACTACTATGCCAACATTAGAGACCATCTGCAGGCCATCTACAACATAGTGTGAGCTTCTTGGGAGATCTGAGAGCAATGAATGTAACAAAAATGCCTAGAAAGACTTAAAATTATATTGTTGCAATGGGTTACGGCTAATATTAGCCCTGCTCAGAGCAGATCCATCAAAGTGAGTGGAACTCAAGTTATTCATGTCCCATTCACTTCAGTGGGTCTACTCTAATTAGGCTTACACTGGATCCAACCTACCTTTCATTAATAGATTAGATTTTTGTTCTGATAGTCAAACATTTGGAATAAAACACAGTGGACCCAATCCAGTCAAAATTAAGCAATCTGAAGCCCCAGTGCTCTAAATGGGTCAGTCAACTATGTGCTTAGATCTCTCAGATAAAAACAAATAGGATGTCAAAGCTGAATTGTGACATAATGTTTGGTTTAAAAAAAAAACAAACTAGCAAATCCTTCTAAGTTTTTTAAAGATCAATTACTGGTGTCAGCACAGCTAGGTAATTTAGAAGAAATCCAAGGCATGAAGAGTGTTGGTCTGACAGTCCTGCACTGCCTGAATTATTAGCTCATGCTGATGCCAGCTCAAAGCCTGGGATAAAGGGGTATTTTGTTGTAAGGGATGAGATGCAGTAGATAGCACTTAATCAAAGTACCTTCTGTTTTCCATGGGGATGAGTGCCTGTACATAGTGTTGATCTCACAGCACTTTTCAAGGAGGCAAGCTAAGAGAATATCAGTAGTATCCCTTACTCTGGACTGCCATAATACATTCTTTCCAAGCAGCACAACATGCTCAGGCATGATTTAAGGCAATTTTTTGAAGATTTAGATCTATGTATCTATATATCTGTGGACTTTATGCCATCTCTGCTCCTCTTTTATATAGAACAGATCTTAATGAAAGACAACGCTGTACATGGATTCAAAACTGCATTTAGGGCTTAATCAAATGCTGTTCTAATGTGGCCTCAATCCTTATACTGCTCTTAATTAAAACTGTTTGAAAAAGTCTCTTACGCAAAGCTTGTGAAAGATGATACTGCTGCAGCGCTGCCACCGGAGCTCCCTCCAGTTATCAGCCAGCTGGTGTCTTCATTTATAGCACTGGAGTTCTGTGCACACTTTTCTCTGTACTGCCGTGAGTAACTCCAGGGGTTTCTAACTGGTCCAAATGCCCCATCTGTACTTCCAGAGCTAAAATGAGAAAATTGTGGAGGAATGAGACAGAAGCTCTTTAGTTCAGCTATAAATTTTGCTATCCTCCCTCTTTCTCTGTTTCAGGCATATTTTCCCATAACAGAGTCCTCACAGCCAACCCCCTTTTCCAAAACAGAACCCTAATTATCAGTCAGACGTAAGTCTTCATTTTAGACAAAGGAAGAGTTCGCCCAGGATTGGGCAGGCTGGAGCCCTTCAAAGTACTTTCCTGTAGCCTTCAAAATGTCCTCTGCCTTTGGAGACTTTAGCACTCTGGATGTAAACTACAAGATTTCAGTTTATTTAGCCATTACAACCTCTATGACAGCATTGCTAATATCTGGTGCCCTCCAGATATTTTGAAGTGCAACTCTGATTATCCCCAAATGCTCCCCATGCTGGCTGAAGCGCATAGCACTGAGGTCCAGCTATCCAAAGGGTGCCAGGCTCAGAAGGTCATTCTTGGGTTGATGGATGGGAGGGACAACCTGCTCTCATATAATCTATCCTCTTTCAAAAGCCTGAATAAGGAGAGCCATCCACCCCAGAGTGACCTTCCTGTTGCTGTCATTATAGATATCCTTTTTAATTAACATGTATGGTTGCAAAGCCAGGCTCCAAATTGTGTGGCCAATATCTGCTAAAATTTCCAAGGAAGACAGGAGTTGTGTGGTCTGAGCTTCAACATCCCACAAAGCTTCTGGCCCATCCTTATGTTACTACAGGAGAGTAGAAATGATGCAACATAAAAGGTATATGGCATGCTTAGCTTAACTTACCCCATAGCAAATTCATCTAGGTTTGTTTTTCCAAGAAGCACAGCTCCTTGATCCAACAATTTCTGAATTACTGTTGCATTGTAAGGGGGGATATAACCTAAAAAAATGCAAAGACTGGATTGGCTTAAGGTAACCTTAAGACATTTTACTGTAGCTGTTGAACTTTATAATTTGGTTTATTTGTATACCATCCATCATCCTAAGAGCTTCCAGGCACTTTACAACATAGTATTTACAAAGATAACATTCAAAGAGTAATATTAATACTTTGGACTATATCTAAGATCGCATGAGTGGGCTTCCACTGGCACAATTGACTTTCCTCATCTTCTGCTCCCTCTGCAGCTACACCCTCCCATCCAATCTCCTGTAAAATCTGCTCGGGAGCAGATGCCATTGGGTTTGCCGGCAGCACAGCTGGATTTCACCCACTACAGCCAAGCAGGCCAGCAATAATATACAAAGATGCATACGCTGAAAAGGTCTGGGAGAACAAAAAGATAGTTGCAAGGAACCATAATAATATCCAAGAAAGCCTCTCCAAGAGGGAATTGCATAAGTAGGCTTAGCACCAAAGAGGCCCTCTCCCTGGTCACCACCTGCTTCAGCTCAGATGGTGGCAGCAGGACCTGGAGAAGTGTCTCAGTGAACGGCCTCAGCATGTGGGAGATGGGAAGAGGCATTCCTTCAGATCCCAAGCCAAGTGGGGCCTCAATACCTAAATTCAGTCCTCTGAATTGCGCAGGAAAGAGAGCAGAGGCCACAACTGTTCTTTAAGACCTGGTGAAATATGGTCTCAAGGCCTGGTCCAAGTCAGTAGCCCAGCAGCAAGACTACCAAGTGCACAAGGGGTGCTTCCAGAGTAGACTTTACCCTGCCACCTGGCCTCAAACACAGAATTTTACAGGGGCTCCAGGAATTGGCATCTTCATCTTATGAGAGGATAGCAATGTTTTCCCACAGCTTCTCTTGCATTTTTTTCTTTCCACAAAAACATCTGCTTAGGAGAAAAAGTGTCATAATGCTACTTGGTGTTTTGTTTGGTCGCGCTAGGAAAACTCCATTTGGAAACCCCCAAAGATTCTAGTATCATGCTCAATATTGTTCCTAAAGTTATGTTTAAAGTCTTATAAAGTGCTAATTCGGCAAAGAATTAGGCCCCAGATAGACATGATCAGTGTGCTTTTAAGTCCTAAATATGTCCCTGTCAAAAGTTTCTTGGATGCATTTAAGATAGCTTCAGATAAAATAATCCAGTGTATCTACTCTTTAATAGGGTTTTCTGTAAGTGGGACTTGGGATTCCAATTCAAGGGCATTGGCTCATCTTACAAACTCTACCTTTTAGCATATTGGATGCGCATGTCGTCTCAATACCAGCCGAGCTGAAGTTGTCTTTAACAGCAATTGGAACTCCATCTAATTTGCCCAGTGCCTGACCTATATTATGAATAATACAAAGACATTAAATTAGTGCACAAAGCAGGGGTGTTGAACCTAAGGTCCTTTGAACTGACTCCCATTTCCCAAGGTTGTGCCCTCTTTCTCCTAACCATTTCATGATTTTCTGGCTTTCACCATTTTCCCGCCACTCTTCAAAAGCTAAAATGCCTTCCCAAAAAGTTATTTACTGGCAATAAGGAGCAGAACCAAAATACAAAAAAAAATCAGTATATTTCAGTTTAAAGCTCCCAAGAGCTTCTCCAAAACTGAATGCAGCCATCAGCTGAAGAATGTCAACATCCCTCGTACAAAGAATTGTACAAACAATTTTATTTAATACTGTGATTCTTTTTCCACATTGCCTGAACAGGTGCCACGACTGAAGCTGCTGGGCAAGCTGATCTGGAAAAGGTATGGAAGGGACATGCCCAGATGCCTCTCATCATCACTCTAAGCACATCCTTCCTCCTGCCTATTTGTTAGCCACAGCTATGCTAGGGGACTGCAGGTGGCACAGTGGTTTAAACTGCTGTACTGGTTGATCGAAAGGTCGCCGGTTCAAATCTGCACAACGGGGTGACTTCCTGTTGCTCCGCCCCAGCTCCTGCCAACCTTGCAGTTCGACAAATGCAAAGGTACCACTTTGCTGGGCAGGTAAGAGCGTTCCGTGCACTTCGGTGTTTAGTCATGCCGGCCACATGACCACGGAGACTGTCTGCAAACAAACGCTGACTCCCTCGGCTAGGAAACGGAGATGAGCACCGCCCCCTAGAGTCAGGCATGACTGGACTTAATGTCAAGGGGAAACCTTTACCTTTACCTTTATGCTAGGTGGGCAGTGCTGCTGTAGCCATGGCATCCCTTAAGACACTGTGCCTGGGAATGTGACAGGTGGCCTGTCCAAAAGCAACTCTTTAATTGGGGGCAGGTGGCTTTAGGCACAGGGATCCACTTGGTTATTAGAGCCCCAAGTCCGCCAAACAGAGTTCAGGGACAAAACAGTGGTCCATGCAGCTGGACATGTACTAGCAACATGCTCAGGCTAGGAATTTGCAATCAGTACCTTACAGAGGTCTGCTTATAAGACGGTAACCTATCTGCTTTGTGGGCGACATTGATATCAAACTGTAAAGAGTACACATTTTCTATCCATAGTTACTGATGTTAGGGAAACATTATAATTTCTCTTCCTTATAAGAGAAAGCCATGTTTTCTCTGAGAGATTCTAAGTGTTCTCTGTGGAGAAAATGATAAAATGTGACTTAGTGAATATAATGATATAACTGATCAATTTGAATCCAAAAAAGCTCAATAGAAACTGTTCTGATTTTGTATACAGTGGTACCTCAGCTCACAAACACCTCAGTTCACAACCAAATCAGGTTGTGAACAGAAATTTCAGAAAAATTTTGCCTTAGATCATGCACTCAGGTCACGAACATCACATCAGGTGATGATTGCAATCACATCCCTTTTCCCTGCACAGGCACGACTGCGGTCGTGCTCGGGTGGGGGTGGGGGTGGCCATGATCACGGTCACGCTCGTGCAGGGAAGACGGGTGTGATCGCGGTCATGCTGGGGGTGGGGGAGATGGCCATGGTCTTTGTTGTTCTTTGTCAATTCGTTTCAAATTTTTGTGATTAAAAAATGGCTACAGAACAGATTAACCTTATTTACATTGAACCATATGGGGAAATTTGACTTGGGTCATGACCAATTTGGGTCGTGACCAGAGTCGTGGAATGGATTATGTTCTGTGTGTTCTGTATGACTGTTTTCAGTAATTCTATAATTTTGGAAACATATGAAATGTTACGAATCTATAAACAAAATTTTTATTAATGCTAAAATTTCACCAATGTTCTGCTTTCATTGAGTAGCTATGGAAAACAATTAGATTTTATTTATCACTAGGTTCTCAAGGTAGGGTTAGGGATAGAAAAAGGAGGTGGCCTGGCATGGTTCTGATGGTTGGAATGTGTTTAGAATGGGCGGGATTCTTGAGCTGGGTAGAAAGAGCTATTCTAGGAAGGTTTTTTTAAAAACTACACTCCTTTCAATGGAACTTTACCCCTGTGTTAGGGTTAGGGGCGTGCACCAGGGTAGGGTGACGGTTAGAAAAATGAGGTGTCCTGGTACAAATATGATGGTTGAAATGCATTTAGAATGGGCAGAAATGATGAGCTGTACAGAAAAAACTACTCAAGGAAGGCTTTTTCAAAATCGCCCTCTTTTCAATGGAACTTTACCCCTATATAAGGGTTAGGAGTGTGCACCAAGCTAGGGTTTGTGCTAGAAAAACAAGGTTTCCTGGTATGGTTCTGATGGTTGGAATTTGTTAACAATGGGCAGAAATGATGAGCTGGGCAGAAAAAGCTTCTCTGGGAAGGCTTTTTCAAAATCGCCCTTTTCAATGGAACTTTGCCCATATAATAGGGTTAGGAGTGTGCACCAAGGTAGGGTTAGGGTTAGAAAAACAAGGTTTCCTGGCATGGTTCTGATGGTTGGAATGTGTTCAGAAGGGGCAGAAAGGATGAGCTGTGCAGAAAAGGCTACTCTAATAAGGCTTTTTAAAAACTGCACTCCATTCAATGGAACTTTACCCCTTATTTTATTTAAGCGTCATTTTAATTGTTAATAGTATTTGCTTATTTCATCTGGCAGGGCGACTTATCTTATATTGTTACTTATTTTATATTGTTACTTAATTTATATTGTTATTTTTTGTATTTTAACTTTATGTTGTGAGACGCCCCGAGGCTTCGGCGAATGGGGCGGCATAGAAATGTTTTAATAAAAATAATAAATAAAAAATATTAGGTGTGCACCAGGGTATGGCATGGTTGTGATGGCTGGAATGTGTTCTGAAGGGGCAGAAAGAATGAGCTGTGCAGAACAACCTACTTAAGGAAGGCTTGTTCAAAATCGCCCTCTTTTCACTGGAAATTTAGTCCTATATTAGGGTTGGGGGTGTGCACCAAGGTAGGGTTAGGGAAAGAAAAAAGAGGTATCCTGGCACTTATTTGATGGTTGGAATACATTTAGAAGGGACAGCAATGATGAGCTGTGCAGAAAAAGCTACTCAAGGAAGGCTTTTGCAAAATCGCGCACTTTTCAGTGAAAATTTACCCCTATATTAGGGTTAGGAGTGTGCACGAGAGTAGGGATACAGTTCGGAAAACGAAGTGTCCTGGCATGATTCCGATGGTTGGAATGCTATTACAAAGGGCAGAAAGGATGAGCTATGCAGAAAAAGCTACTCAAGTAAGGGCTTTTCAAAATCGCACTCTTTTCAGTGAAAATATACCCCTATATAAGGGTTAGGGGTGTGCACCGGGGTAGGGTTAGGGTTAGAAAAACGAAGGTGTCCTGGCATGATTCTGATGGTTGGAATGTGTTTAGAAGGGGGGAAAATGATGAGCTGGGAAGAAAAGCTAGTCTAGGAAGGATTTTTCAGAATTGTACCTCTTTCAATGGAATTTTACCCCTATGTTAGGGTGAGGGGTGTGCACCAGGATAGGGTTGGGGTTAGATAAGCGAGGTGTCCTGGAATGATTCTGATGCTTGGAATGTGTTCAGAAGGGGCCGTAAAGATGAGCTGGGAAGAAAAACCTACTGTAGGAAGGCTTCTTCAAAATCACACTCTTTTTAGTGGAATTTTACCCCTATTTTAGGGTTAGGAGTGTGCACGAGAGTAGGGATACAGTTAGGAAAACGAGGCATCCTGGTATGATTCTGATGGTTGGAATGTGTTTAGAAGGGGGAAAAATGATGAGCTGGGAAGAAAAATTAGTCCAGGAAGGTTTTTTCAAAATTGTACCCCTTTCAATAGAATTTTTACTGTATATTAGGGTTACGAGTGTTCACCAGGGTAGGGTTACGGTTAGGAAAATGAGGTTTCCTGGAATGATTCTGATGGTTGGAATGTGTTTAGAAGGGGAAACAATGATGAGCTGGGAAGAAAAAGCTAGTCTAGAAAGGATTTTTCAGAATTGTACTCCTTTCAATAAAATTTTACCCCTATATTTGGGTTAGAATTGTGCACCAAGGTAGGGTTAGGGTTAGAAAAATTATGTGTCCTGGCATGATTCTGATGGTTGGAATGGTATTACAAAGGGCAGAAAGGATGAGCTGGGAAGAAAAATCTAGTCTAGGAAGGGTTTTTCAAAATCGCTGTCTTTTCAAAAGAACTTTACCCCTATGTTAGGGTTAGGAGTGTGCACCAAATTAGGGTTACAGTTACAAAAACGAGGTGTCCTGCAATAATTCTGATGGTTGGAATGTGTTTAGAAGGAGAAAAAAAGATGATCTGGGAAGATAAAACTAGTCTAGGAAGGATTTTTCAGAATTGTACTCCTTTCAATAGAATGTTACCCCTATATTTGGGTTAGGGTCGTGCACCAGGGTAGTGTTAGGGTTAGAAAAACTAGGTGTCCTGGCATGATTCTGATGGTTGGAATGCTATTACAAAGGGCAGAAAGGATGAGCTGGGAAGAAAAAGCTAGTCTAGGAAGGCTTTTTCTAAATTGCCCTCTTTCAGTGGAAGTTTACTCCTATATTAGGGTTAGCTGTGTGCACCAGGGTAGGGTTAGGCATAGAAAAACGATGTGTCCTGGTACGAATTTGATGACCGGAATGCCTTTAGAATGGGCAGAAATGATGAGCAGTGCAGAAAAAGCTACTCAAGGACGGCTTTTTCAAAATCACAATCTTTTCAGTGGAACTTTACCCCTTTATTAGGGCTAGGGTTGTGCACCAAGGTAGGGTTAGGGTTAGAAAAACGAGGTTTCCTGGAATGATTCTGAAGGTTGGAATGTGTTTAGAAGGGGAAATAATGATGTGCTGGGAAGAAAAGGCTAGTCTAGGAAGGATTTTTCAGAATTGTACTATCAATAGAATTTTACCCCTGTGTTTTCCCCATTCTAAAGGCATTCCAGCAATCAAATTCGTACCGGGACACCTCGTTTTTCTAACCCTAACCCTACCCTGGTGCACACCCCCAAACCTAATACAGGGGTATATTTCCATCGAAAGGAGTGCAATTTTTTAAAAGCCTTCCTTGAGTAGCTTTTTCTGCCCAGCTCATTATTTATGGCCACTGTAAACAAATTCCAACCATCAGAATCATACCATGACATCTCGTTTTCTAACCCTAACCCTACCCTGGTGCCCACCCCTAACCCTAATATTGGAGTAAACTTCCATTGAAAGAGGGTAATTTTGAAAAAGCCTTCCAAGAGTAGCTTTTTCTTCCCAGGTAATCATTTCTACCCATTGTAAACACATTCCAACCATCAGAACCATGGCAGGAATCCTTGTTTTTCAAACCCTAACCCTACCCTGGTACACACCCCTAACCCTAACAGGGGTAAAATTCCATTGGGAAGAGTGCAATTTTGAAAAAGCGGTCCTTGAATAGCTTTTTCTGCAGAGCTCATCATTTTTGCACATTCTAAAGGCATTCCAGCCATCGGAATCATGCCAGAACACCTCATTTTTCTAACCCTAACCCTAACCTGGTGCACACCCCTAACCCTAACTTAGGTGTAACGTTCCATTGAAAAAAGGGCGATCATGAAAAGCCTTTCTTGTGTAGCTTTTTCTGCCCATCTCATCATTTCTGCCCCTTCTAAACACATTCCAACCTTCAAATTGTGCCAGGACACCTCATTTTACGAACCCTAACCCTACCCTGGTGCACACCCCTAATCCTAACATAGGGGTAAAATTCCACTGAAAAGAGTGCAATTTTGAAAAAGCCTTCCTAGAGTAGCTTTTTCTTCCCAGCTCATTATTTCTGCTCCTTCTGAACACATTCCAACCATCAGAATCATGCCAGAAAAACTAGTTTTTCAAACCCTAACCCTACCCTGGTGCACACCCCTAACCCTAATATTGGAGTAAATGTCCATTGAAAGAGGGCGATTCTGAAAAAAGCCTTCCTAGAGTAGCTTTTTCTTCCCAGGTAATCATTTCTGCCCCTTCTGAACACATTCCAGCCATCAGAACTATGCCAGGACACCTCGTTTTTCTAACCCTAATCCTACCCTGGTGCACACCCCTAACCCTAATACAGCGGTAAAGTTCCATCGAAGGGAGTGCAATTTTTAAAAAGCCTTCCTTGAGTAGCTTTTTCTGCACAGCTCATCCTTTCTGCCCCTTCTGAACACATTCCAGCCATGAGAAGCATGCCAGAAAACCTTGTTTCTCAAACTCTAACCCTACCATGGTGCACAGCCCTAACCCTAATGTTGGTGTAAAGTTCCATTGAAAACAGGGCGATCATGAAAAGCCTTGAGTAGATTTTTCTGCCCATCTCATCATTCCTGCCCCTAATAAACACATTCCAACCCTCAGAATCATTCCTGGACACCTCATTTTTCTAACCCTAACCCTACCCTGGTGCACACCCCTAACCCTACTAAAGGGCTAAATTTTCACTGAATAGAGGTCTATTTTGAAAAAGCCTTCCTAGAGTAGCTTTTTCTGCACAGCTCATCATTTCTGCCTCTTCCCAACACATTCCATCCATCAGAACCATGCCAGGACACCTCATTTTTCTAACCCTAACCCTACCTTGGTGCACTCCCCTAACTCTAATATAGGAGTAAACTTCTATTGAAAGAGGGCCATTTCGAAAAAGCCTTCCTAGAGCAGCTTTTTCTTCCCAGTTCATCATTTCTGCCCATTGTAAACACATTCCAACCCTCAGAATCATTACAGGAATCCTTGTTTCCTAACCCTAACCCTACACTGGTGCACACCCCTAACCCTGATGTAGGTGTAAAGTTCCACTAAAAGATTGCAATTTTGAAAAAGCCTTGAGTAGCTTTTGCTGCACAGCTCATCATTTCTGCCCATTGTAGAGGTATTCCACCCACAAATTCGTACCAGGACACCTCCTTTTTCTATCCATAAATCTACCCTGGTGCACACCCCTAACCCTAATATAAGGGTAAAATTCCATTGAAACGAGTACAATTTTGAACAACCCTTCCTAGACTAGTTTTTTCTTCCCAGCTCATCATTTCTGCTTCTTCTGAACACTTTCCAACCATCAGAACCATACCAGGACACCTTGTTTTTCTAACCCTAACCCTACCCTGGTGCACACCCCTAACCCTGATATAGGTGTAAAGTTCCATTTAAAAGAGGGCAATTATGAAAAACCTTCCTAGAGTAGGGTTGGGGTTAGTAAAACGAGGTGTCCTGGTATGGTTTTGGTGGTTGGAATGTGCTTGGAAGGGGCAGAAAGGACGAGCTGGGCAGAAAAAGCTACTCAAGGAAGGCTCTTTCAAAATCACCCTCCTTTCAATGGAAGTTTACCCCTATATTAGGGCTAGGGGTATGCACCAAGGTAGGGTTAGGCCAGTCGTGGAAAACTTATGGCATGTTTCCTTCGGTTGGAACGCAGAGCCCTCTTTTTCGGCATTCAAGCCAAGTCACCCCAGCATCGACCCAGCATCCCAGCATTGGATAACAGTGTACATAATGGCCATGAACACCCTCTGAATGGAGTAGTGGTGCCAGGCGATGTCGTCATGGACTGCAACTCATTAGCCACAACTTGTCCGAGCTTTCACATGGCCAGTCAGTGCTCTGCTAAGGATGTATTTTTTTGCTTGGACTGGCTGTGTGTTGTATTTTCTAAATTAAAGTCTCTGTTTTCAAGTTTTCTTGTAATGTTGGCACTTTGCGATAAATAAATTGGTTTTGGGTTGCAGTTTGGGCACACTGTCTCTAAAAGGTTCACCATCACTGCCCTAGAACAGTGTGCAAAATTGCATCCCTTTTGTACATGTTTCTTATAACTGCATTTTTGTGCATTTTTCTCCTAATGTGTGCACTGTTGCATTCTCAGGTTCACTATAGGTGAAATACATAGAAAATGCTGCATGTACTTCCATGAGGACTTTGCAAAAAAAAAAAAAAAAAAAAGCAATCTTTTATGGAAAAACAATAGCAGGAACTGCTTAGAAAAGTTTCCTGACAGTTAGGACCCCGAGGGTGTGGAATGGGCTTTCATGGGTGGTGGGTGAGGCCCCATCAGTGAGGGTGTTCAAAGAAAGGCTGGACGTGCACATGGTGGGCGTGTTGTGAGCGGAGTCGGCTGGTACCAGAGGTCAGACTAGATGGTCCGGGAGGCCCCTTTTGACTCGCTCTGTTTCTATGTTTCTTTGTCTCCTAGACCAGGGCCTCCAGTTGCAGAGCTCTTAATTCAACATGTCCTTAAGCAGTAAAGAGGTTGATCTCAAGACTTTCTATTTTACGATGAAGTGCTTTAAACCATCCAGATGGCTGATGGGGGAAGAGTGATTGGATCTGGAGTCCAATGCATCTGGACAGCACTCGATTAGAAAAGGCTGGTTTAAATGGAGCATAAGAGCATCCCAAACATACATGATATTATGTGGCTCTCAGACATTGTGGCAACTCTAGGCAGATTAGACTGCTACAAACAAATGGAATGAAGACCATAAACTGCTGAATCAAAGGCAGAGAGTGAATTTAGCAGTCCATTTTACAATATTAGCAAATAAATGTCTTTTGCAGAAAATGCTAGGACAACAGACAAAAGATCTCAGGACAGAGCAACTGTCCAGCAGGAATACTTTACCTTGTCTGTATCTCTTCTCTGAAGCTGAAGCCTGCTCCAGTGCTGTGTCTTCTGCTACTGTGATATAAGCATTGAGAAATCTGGTGGCTTTTGTTAAGGCGATACACTTTTGACAAAGCTCTGTTGGACTTACTTGGCCTTCCTTTAGTGCTGCAGAAACCTGAAATGACCATGATTTCCAATGTTAGAGGAATTTATAACCTTTACGGAAGCATATGTCTACCTGGTTTTCAAAACAAATGCACTCCTCAGCATAAAATCTATTTGAATGAAAGACTGTGCTTATATACCTCCATATGTCAAGACGTGATTGCTCTGACTGGGCAAGCAACATCACCAGAAATTATATGAAACATAACAATAGACTTTGCAATTGTAAAAAAAAAAAAGGCCTTCAGACTCAAGGTATGGAGACAAAATACAGAATAATATCAGAGTTAATTTAGCAAACAAGCAGATAAGGTCATTACTTGTCAATGGGGTTATCCACAGTTATTTTTTTAGCTAATCCAGAATAATAAAAGGCATATGGGCCCGTCTGTCCATGCATCAGCACCACAGTACCAAACTAGTGAAACCTGGACACCTGAAACATGGCATAGATACTAAAGGAAGCCTAGAGGTGTGGACCTTGGGGGTATTTTTAAAGCATAAATTTTAATTAATTGAAATGGGCCCATGTATAGCCAAATATTCAGCCTGTACAGGCAGTCTTCCCTAACCAGCATATAGCATTCCAGTTTGAAACCAGAGATCATTAGATTTATACTCCTCACACTCCTCCCATTAGAGGCATGGAACAGAAATATCCTTAGCTAGGAGACTATAAGAGTGCACCATAGCAGGGGTTGTACCTGGGAATGCAAGTGGGAAATGGCCTCACTTACATGGGGCAGACACAGTTGTCCCACTCTGACAGCTATGTCTACTTGCTTGAAGGCTTGCTGTATCAAACTAAGGACTATTCGAACTCGTGTGAAGCTGGTTTGCTAATTTCTTCAAAAAGAAACCTGATAGTGTAATCCTAAACATGTCTACAATTCAGTACAAAATAGTGGCTCAAAAGATTAGGCAAGCTTATGAAGAATAAATCTAACAATGGCAATTAGTCATCATGAACAAGAAGCCACCTTACTGAACACCAGCTGCTGTGGAGCAGGATGATAGATGGCCCTTTCTTCATATGTTTACAAGTACATCTTATAAAATAAGTGTGGTTTCCAAAAGACCAGCATATTTTGGAGTGTAACACTAGGCTTTGGGTCAGTGACCACCACTTCTACCTTTTTACCATACACTTTGTATATGACTCCCTGCACAGACAGACTATCCTACTAGTTTTAACCTAGGTCTGGTTTGTTAACTACTAATTCAGGCAAAGAAAGAATACATAAGCTTTCTAGAAAAACACATATGCTTTTTTGAATTCTAAAACAAATGACATCCTTCAAAACAGATCATGTTCTTTAACATACGGGGTATCTTGCAACTCCACAATGTTGTAACTCTATCCCTCTACATTTGCAAACACAAAAGACAGATCAGTGCATTGGGAGGTTACTTGTCACATCACAGGGACAGGAATAATGACACTCCTGTGCACATTTACAGTAAGAAGTATCCCACTCTGTTCAGCAGGGTGTACTTTTCTGTGAGTATGAATTGAATTGTATTCTTTAAGTGTAAGCAGATGGGTGTTTTGTTTTGTATGCATTTGAGAAAAAGAGCTGTGCCATTTCACAGCTTCCCTCTCCATGCACTTACAGAGAAAAATCAGGGCTGTTACCTTATCTTTTGAAACATGCATTCATTGCATCTGAGGTGGACAACTTGTAGGCAAAAACAGCTGGAGAGCTGTTTCTCTAATCAGTCCTAGCCAGCATAGACAAGTGATAAAACATGGAGCTGTAGGCTAAAATCACTGAAGATAACAGGTTGCCACCTCTGGATTACACAGCTGCCTATCTGAAAGAACATTTTGAAAAAAAATACACATGTATAATGAAACAGAAAAATGAGAATCAAAAGGGAAACAATGCTTACATGTTGCCATTAAAGAAAGATCTTTGTACTTTCAAATTTTAGGAAGACTAAAATGTAAGTTTTGATTAACAGAGAACTCATGCATTCTGTGTGTAATGCAAACTTCTGAGAAAACTTTGTTAGAGTACTCCTGCCCATAAATACAGAGGAAAGAGTTAATTTAAGGCAGCCTTCAGAGGCATTTGGATCACAACTCCCAGTATTCCCATCCGACAGGGCCATTGACTGGTACAAGATCGGGAAGGCTGATAATAGGGTAATCTTTCCTAACCGAAAGATCTCCAGATGTGTTGGTCAACCACCCCCATCCAGTACATCTCCTGGGGCTGATAAAGTTATAACCCAGCACACCTGGAGGGTATGTACTTACAGATGCAGGAACATTCTAACTACTATTCTTTCTGATAGCAACTTGATTTTCTTGGAACTGTATAGCCTATTGTACACAGCCTTAAACGTTTCATGCAAGCAATGTAGAAATCCGAGTAAGTAAAAACTGGTAATTTGGAAGGGCAGTCTCCCTCACCAGATCGTAAGAATAGGGTCAAAAGCAGCAGCCACGGATCCAGCCCACTGGTCTAAAACTATCATTATTTTTGCTGTGTGTACTGAGGCATCTTTAGTAATTGCATGACAAACAAAAATAAAGAGAGTGAAGGTCCCCCGCCCCAACATAACAATGCAATAACTGGAAAGTGCTCTGCATGTGGATTTTCTATCCTCCAAGCAACTGTAACTGCAATGCCGGAACAAAAATACGCCTGCCAGGAGCTCAGTCTGCCTAAATTCAGAGCCAACCTGGGAGCAAAACAGAAGATACGGCCCGGGAAAATGAGGGGTGCATAGCGTGCTTCGCCCATCGCGGGGACCAAGACCAGGCCCAGCGCTGCCTGCCCTGCCTCACCTCTTGGAGAGACGCACGGAGCATCTTCGCTCCCGAGCCCGTAGGAAAAATTCGCAAAGCCGCGGGACTTTCTTCATCAAATTAGCACCAATTACTGGAATTGTACGTACAAACTCATGGGCGCAGCCATATTGAAAAGCACGTCCCAACACCAGGGGCGCTGATTGGCTCCTAACTCCGCGGGTCCGGAGTTGCTGCGTTTCTATTGGTCTGGGTGGGAGCGGGGCAGTGCTTGCATCCGCACTAGGGGACGGGGGAGTTTACATGAAGGAGACTCGGAGGCAGGGCAGGGGCAAGTTAATCTCACGGAAAACGTGGTCATGGGGAGGGAGTGAAACAAGGCTTTCTTGGTAGTTAAGGCAGTGGGGGAAGGGGCTAGCCTCGCTGTCCCATGTGAGCTTCAAGGGTTAGTGCGTTTGGTAGTTCGGTCAGAAAAGGAAGCAGAGCATAAACCCCCACTGAGCTTTGGTGTTCGCAAGCCTCACAACCTTTCCTAAAACTTAGTGAGCAATGTAAGCCTAAGGGGAAAAGTTCGTTTTTTGCTTTCTTTTCCTATGTTAAGAGAAAATAAACGTGATGCGGAGTTTATTTTTTTAACAATGCTAAAGATATGTTAAAACTTGACTGTAGGAACCTGTAAATAAGCTTCTTTTGATTTATAGGAAAGTGCATGAGAAGCATCTTCATAATTTGAAGAGCTAGGTATTAAGCATTCTTAACGATTCCTTCTCCTTAATTCGCAATCATGTTGCTAAAAGGAAACATAATTAAAAGCAAAGTGCTTAGTTTTTTGGGCAGGTGGCCTAGCGCTGGAGTGACTTCCTCTGAAAGAGGGAAAAGTTTGCATTGGGCGCTTCCAAGTAGAAACATCCACCTTTCCTGCCAAAGATGTACAACAATGATATCTTGGGTGATTGACCGTTATGGGAAAAATGATGTTCTACGATTCACAACAAACATGATGCTTCCTATCATCCATTTCCCGAATGAAGTTGTTATCAAAGTTCATGCTGCAAGTTTAAATCCTATAGATGTTAACATGCGAAGTAAGTAGTTATGTCTTTCATGTCAATTAATTGAGGCCTACCTGATAGGGTTGGTTGTGAGCATTAATAATCTAACTCTAAAGTGCTTTGAACTCATTAAATGTGCTGTGGTTATGCTTTCCTCTGATTAATACTCTTGTTTAAGCAGGAAGTGATACTGCAGACATTTGAAATTAAGTATTGAGTGAGCTAACTTATTTGTTACTGTTGTTTGCTCTGCTGTGAGCTTCCATTAAGACCTTTCTGGTGAAGTTACAAATTGAATAATATACAATCATCTGCATGTGAGAGAAATAGAAAACAGTCCTATGACTGCAAGCATGCCCCAGTTCTAAATGTCATAGGAGTCTTTTTCTGTCTGAACATACAAAGGAGTGCACCCTAAAACTAGGCATATTTAAAAGTAAATGAAATCTCTCATTTCAATCCCTTGCCAGATCTTTAAGTTGTTGCTGCCTCAGTCTTTGTGTAAAAAAATGGGAATAACAGGAAAGTACTTCATCATGGCATTGAGGGAATAAATAAATTATTGCTGCAAATGAGCCATGAAGACAAGATGGAATATGAATTTTACTGAAACCCCAACAAAACTTTGTTGTATTTTTGGTCTGTATTTTGGTAGGTGGATATGGAGCTGCTGCTTTAAGGCTGAAGCGAGATCCACTGCGCATTGCAATGAAAGGCAACGAATTTCCTTTGACACTTGGTCGGGATGTTTCTGGTGTTGTGATGGAATGTGGATTGGATGTGTCCTATTTCAGACCTGGAGATGAGGTAATGTCAGGATCAGAGTAGAAGGAATAAAAGTTATTTGGAGCTGATTTGTAAATTCTCAGTCTCCATAGAAACAAATAACTTTGCGCGCGCACGCGCTCTCTCTCTCTCTGGTTTTTTTCCCCCTTTAGCTGGGCCCAGGGCTGTTAAACTAAAGACTGTAAAGACACACAAATCTTTCTTTTATGTCCTTGTTTTGTCTCTTCCTTGTTATTTACTGGGATTAAGAGAGCTAACCTCAAAAGGAAATCATTCAGGGTTTCTTTCAATGTGGGAAGAGTTGTACATGGCACAAGGCCATGCAGCGAAACTCATGAACTATGAATAGCTTCTTCCCTTAGATAATCCTCTGAAGGCTGAAAAATTGCACTACTCTGTAAAAAACTACCTATTGCAGCTACACAGTTAAGGCAAAATATGTGAGCTTTGACCGTCTTTGTTTTTCAGGTCTGGGCAGCAGTTCCACCATGGAAACAAGGCACTTTCTCAGAGTTCGTTGTGGTTAGTGGAAATGAGGTAATGGGACTAATATTTGTTTTGATATGAAAAACGTATTTAGGAAAAATAAGGAACATTGTTGTGTAACTTTTTAATTTGTGATTCCATTTCTGTATTTCATAGGACAGCCTTTTATATTCTGGTGTGTTCCACATGTGCTTAACTACAGCCTTCAGCATCCAGAATGCTGTGAGTTATAGTGTAACACACCTGGAAGGCACCAGATTGAGAGAGGCTGTCATGGGATCTCTCAAAATACTTTTTGTACTATGGCAAGTATGTAGCCTACATTATTTCCACTATGTTCATAACCATGGTTTGTACTGCATGGTGGCAGACTTCTTTCTTGCTGTTTCTGCTGTATTTAACATTGGGAGAAAGAGAGGGGAAAGAGGATGCAAGACAGGTGAGCAGTAGTTATAAGAGTGTGCTGTTTCATTTTCCCTGCTGGCAAAACAAAGTTCTGCATTATGACACTGGAAGGGAGCGAGTCAGTGAGCTTGAACAGGCAGCCACTGCAGGGCAGCAGTGTGTTTGTAGGGTTGGATTTCTATGCATACTGTGCCACATTTTGACAAATGCAGAGGAAAAGGGCCAGTTACTTATTGGTAATCTTACTTAGCAGAGAGGCAAACAGGTGATTTCTTATTTAAAAGTTGGAAATCACTTTATCTCAGCCTTCCCTAACCTGAGATCTTCCCAAAGTTTGGAACAGAAGTGCCTATTGCTTACAGCCTGCATGGCCAATGGTCAGGAATGCTGGGAATTACAGTCTAAAGCATCTGGAGGGCATCAGGTTGGGGAAGGCGCCATATTGGAATAGCATTCCAGTTTTTAATGCATTTTGACAATCCAAACAAGCATTTCATGTAGGACATTGTTCTTACAAATGTACATATTACAGGAAAAACGTACAAAGTGTAATAAGTGAAAATTTTGCAATTGCTTGCTCAGCGTGAGGATTCCAACAATGTACAAATAGCGTAAAAAAAGTTATATGATTTTTGACACGGAGCAGTGTACATGTGGGGGTTTTCGTCTTAACCTGGCAGGTGTCAAAGTAGGAAAAATGTGATTGTGTCAGTTCTAGTGAATTGTGAAGCAATCAAACCTCAGCTGCTAAGGCTTGATGAGCCTTCATTATTCACCCATCTTTCTTGTTCTTGGATACATGCCTGCTTTCTTTCATTTATACAGGTAGCTAGAAAGCCCAGGCGCCTCAGTCATGTAGAAGCTGCTTCCTTGCCTTATGTTGCTCTAACAGGATGGTCTGCACTGAGCCAGGTTGGGGGGTTAAATCAGGATAATTGTAACAATAAAAGGTAAGTAGCCGATTGTGCTGTAAAGAGGTCAGTGTAGGGCTTTCTTGAAAGAGTAAGAGACTGTGACTTCCTTTGGAATTTGTGAGATTGAGAAAATTATCTCACATAAGCCTCTGTGGGCAGTTGCTTTGTTTTGGTGTATCTCTCTTGAAGAATATTGAACATTATGAATTGTAGGTTTAGTAAAAATTCTCATTTTGAAATTGGCCAAATTAAGTACCGGCAGTTACTTAATCTAGTTATGAACATCTGAGTTATGAACTGCCATAAAGCCTATTAATTTAAAAAAATCACTGTAGAAAATTATCATCATAGAGAGAAAGGAAGTGAAAGGGGAGAGAGAAGGCCTCCAAAGCATCACCATAGAGAGACAAGAAGCGAAGGGAAGAGAGAGAAGGCCTTCAAAGTGGACCTTCCTGCCCCACCCATGGGAGGGAAGTCTCTCCAGCATGTCCTTGCTGCAAAGAGGAGGCACTGGTGAAATTGGAGATATTTGCAGTTTTTTCACTTTCATGGGGGTCCTGTGCCCTCAATGTGGAGGCCCAACTATCCAACTTGCATACAAATTCGAATTTCCATTTTATCAGGAATTCATAACCCAGGGACTGCCTGTATCCTGTTTCAGGCACAAGGACATAGTGTTCTTAAACCCATTTTTCAACATCATTGTAATTTTCACAGGACAATTGCACTGTCCCCTTCAGTTGTCTCAAGTATTCTTCTTGCCATTTTACAGATGGGAACCTATCTGCCCTTATCTGTTCTATTACGTTTGATAAGCTCTTGTGTTGCTGTGAACTTGATAGGCACAGGCTGCAAGATGTTAACACAGCTATTCACAGTATGCATGTACGGTCTCTATTCCTGACTGCCACATATTTCTCCCAGCAAGAGAAATATGTCATTCAAAGATGAGTATTTTGCATGAGTTCAGACACAAGTGGTGTTAATCTGCTCTTTTTCTGGTTGATGTTCTGTACAATTTGCTTTTCCCTGGGAGTTTCTCCTGCTTTTGGTTTAAGATACAACCTAATTTTGTACAAGTGATACACTTTTGTACAAGTGATACACAATAGATATGAAACAGAGTAAAAGTAGGATTTCACACTCAGGTTCTTAATTTCCTCTAGCTCTTTTCATTTCCTCTAATAATTTGGCTTGGCTACTCTTTGATATGTACGTGTTTTTGGATATTTTAACTCGATATCCAGGGGCAGCTGAAAAAAGGAAGGAAGAAAAGAAGGAAGATTCTGTTGTTGTCACAACTTCCTTCAATCAGATTCTAAGAGATTAAATATTTGCTTGAGAACGAGAATGCATTTGTGTGTGTGTCGTCCATGCTGTACTTCACTGTGCCCCAGTAAAATTTGACTACTTTAAGATTCCTTACCATCAGCTAATATCTTGTGCTAGCAACTAGACCTAGGTCAGGTCCACTTTCAGTTCATTTTTCCTTTGTTTTAGCTTTGTGTTGTATGAATAAAACAATTTAGAAATAAAATTGCGTAGGAGGGGGTTAACTGCTGATCATTACAGTGTAGAAATATGAAATTTAATCTGTTTCTTACCTGTATTTGCTTTTGCTTCACAGAATATTGATCTTTGGTGCATCAGGTGGAGTGGGTACCTTTGCTATTCAGGTAAATGTGTTAACATTGATGATCTTGGCTGATATTTTTTCAAGCTAATGAGATAGAAATCTGTACTGAAATTTCATGTACAAGCTAATTTAGGCTACAGTTATATAGGTATTTACTGGGGAGTAAGTTCCAATGAACTCAATGGAACTTGCTTCTGATTAGGTGTATATAGGGTTGTGCACAAGTATTATTCCATTCTTTTATTTTCACCTTCATGATCTTGGAAGAAAAATATTATAGTGTTCATTTTGCTATGTAGCTTTGCAGGTTTTCTAATTTGGGGCTGTGACTAAACTCAGAGTGTAGGCTCCAGAGGGGCATTGGAAATGTTTTACTAGAACAATACCTGTCCAAGCTATAAAATATCAGACAAAAGTACATTCTATTCTAACTTATTGCAAATTGTGCATATATCATATCTGTCATTATAGAATGAGCTGTGAATTTGGGAGTTTCTGGTCTCATGTGAGCTGTAAGGCTCCTTGATGGTTGAGGTCACTTTAATAACACTGACCTACCTTACTGGGTTGTTGTAGCGCAGTGGTAGGCACCTTGTATAGGCCTGAGGGTCTCATATGGAGTTGACTGGGCAGTTGCGGGCATGTTGCTCTGGGGGGCAAGAGGCATTCCCCTGCCCCCCATCCCAGTGATATAATAGAGTAGCCACACACACATCCATTGCAGCTCTGCAGCTGAAGGACCTGGGATAGGCAGGAGGAAGCTGCTTTCCTCCCATCCCAGGGATCTCACTGTGAAACAGGACTCCTGAGTGTGATGCTTTTCACACACCATTTTCCCAGGTCTCCTGGGAAAGAGAATCTTTCTTTCCCATTCTGTTGCCTAGAAGAATAGATACCCCACCCACCATTAAAATTCCTGTTGCACCTTACAAAGTTGAAAAAACCCACCATCAGGAGAAGCATTGATGAGCAAATGCAAACTCTGCCAAGACAAAACAAATTGAATTTAATGAAAAGCCCTGAGAAAATAAAGACCTTTAGCTGGCACCAGGATAACATAAGCAGGACAGGTGTCTCTGGGGGAAACATTCTACAAGTTAGGGTTCCTCACGGATTAGGTCCTCTTGCTGGTGGCGTTGTTGTTGTGTGGTGTGCCATCCAGTCGTCTCCAACTTTCAGCAGCCCTGTGAATGAAAGCACTCCAGAATGTCCTCTCCATGGCCTCCCTGCTTAGCTATTTGAAAATCCTCTTCCTGATGTTTGTCCACTGTACCTCAAATAGTTGGGCAACCCACAGAAGAGCCTCAGATGAGAGCGTGTAGCATGCAGACACAGATCGAGAACCAATCTTTCAGGACCCTGCTTGCCAGTCAGGAAGGGCTTTAAGCTGAGCCCAGACACAGTGTGTTAGTGGGTGTGACAAAGAGCCAGTGGGATAACTTGGTGTCTGTCTTTTGATGTGTAGTTTGTTTACTCAGTAATGGATTTACTTAGCTCAGTCAATTGCAATGTATCTTATCCCCTTGAAGACAAACATTTTTCCTTTTTAGCAACTGAAGCTCCCTTCTCTATTGCCCCATATACCCATTGATGACAGCCAAGTTAACAGTGACTTCTTGGGTTTTAGTCCACCCTGGAAAATGCAGTATAATAATAGTCTATATGCATTATAAAATGAAATGTAATTGAAAAGAACATAGAAGCTTTTAAGAGTTGACATTTTTCAAATGTGCCTTCCAAAGAATATTTGTGTAAAATATGTGTAGCATCTGCTTGTTTGCTTTTAATTCTTGCATACCACTTGATATAACAACATCTAGTGCCAAAGTACTAGAAATTGCTTAAAATACTCAAGTATAGTGACAGCAAAGAAAGTCAAGGAGAAACAATAAAAATAGCACTGGGGAAGACATTCAAATGGATAGTTTTATCATGAAACAAAATTTTGAAAGGGAAACATTGTTGGACTTAAGCAGGACAGAAAGAGACACCACTTTGCCATTCATTTTTACTGTCTTAACAATAATTACATTTGAGGGTGAGACAAGCAGGGAAGAAAAGGGAGACTGGAGAATGTCTTGTTTGAAGAAAAGCAAAGCAAAGCTTCATTAAATGTTTATAAACAAGGGAAAAGTCTTATGCAGAAAAAATGTGTGCAGATAATTTTTTGTTCTTTGTCATAATAAAGCAACTTGAAACCAATGACACTGTTTGGCAATTAAGAGTAAGTTTCATAAAATGCCTGATTACCTTAGATATTTTTGCTGTCTCAAGATCTGGTGGTACCATTGGCTCAGATGGTTTTAAACATGTATTAGACAGTTGTAGAGGGACAGGATAGGGCTATCCATATCTATTAATGATAAGAGTCAAATGGAGCACCTATGTGGCAAGGCAGGTGCCCTCTGGGTACAAGTCGCTGGAGAGCAAATGGAGGGAGTGTGCATGCCTGCCTTGCTTGTGATATTCTTGGAAGCACCCCCAAGCCCCTGTTCACACAGCACCAGGTGTCTGTCTGGTCCATCGAGCTCAGTGGTAGGCAACCTGGTATCCTCCAGGTGTGTCAGGGAACAGCTCTCACCATCCTCCAGCCAGAATGGCGAATGGTCTGGGAATCATAGTCCAAACCATGTGGACAGCACCAGGTTGCCTACCCCTGGGATGGGTGGTTCATTCTAAATATGCTCTTTAGATTCTTAATGTCAAAATGCTAAAAAGTACAACATGAACCTTTTATAATGTTTTTTTAAACATTAACACAAATTTGAGTTGGAGAGGAGGTAGGTGTAGAATTTGTAGAATGGACGTATGAGCAGCTACTCTTTGCTTGACAGTTTTCGTCCTGTGCCTTTTCTTGCAGTTACTGAAAGCCTGGGGTGCTCACGTGACAGCAGTTTGTTCTCAGGATGCCAGTGAACTGGTGAAACGTCTTGGAGCCGATGATACAATTGATTACAAATCTGGAAATATGGAAAAGGAGCTGAAAGCATTACCACTGTATGTACCAGTATGATTAGCTTGTGAGTGCATTTGGCCTTAGGTTCTGAACTGAAATCTAAGCTTCAGTGAGTTAACATGTTGTCTGAGCCTAGCCCTGTTCCCATGGGGTGGCTTAGAACCCATCCCACTCAACCGTGGCTCAGTTCTGGGTTTAATTCACTCACTGTGGTTTAACATGGCACCCAGGGCAAGGTCCAGCTGAAGATTAAAGGAGCCCCTTGGCTAGAAAGCATTGCTGATGAGTGCTGGCAGAGTGCCCAAGTAGCACTTCAAAGGTTGCCATCGTTACCCTCACGCTTCGGGCGTCGCTGGAAGGTGAGCAGGATTGCATGCGAATGATCCTGTTTCCCCTCTAGCATTGGCTGGAGCATGGGGGAAGTCACTGCATTCCGCAACATGCTGCCTGTCCAGCCCCTGTTTGGGGCCTGGGGAGGTGATGCTCATCAGAGGACCTGGCCAGTCCTCTTCTCTAGCTGGGAAGTAACCCGTGCCTTTCTCCCTGCTCTTTATGTGGCCTGAAGCTGATGCAGGGATGGTGGTTTGTGTCTCTGTTTCTTTGAAAGGAGGCAGCAGGGTTTTCCGAGGACTCAGAACTTATGCCTGGTGCTGTTTCAGACACTCCCCCGCTGCTGCCTCTGCCTAATCACAGCAGGAGCCCAGAGCAGGCTGCTTTGGCAGGGCCCTGTTCTGATGTCTGTAGCCTCCCGCAGTGGTGACCCTTGGCGAGTGAAGAGACCCCTTTTCAGCCACTCATCACAGGTGGGACTGGCAAGTTCCGTGTGCACCCACCCTCCATGATACCACTGCAATTGCCGCCGTTTGGCTGCAACCGGGGAAACACAGCCGTGAGCTCTGCGCAAAACATCAGGCCCTCGGTACTGCATCAGACGAGCTCATCTCCACACTTTTGCGATCCTCAGCAGGATGCTCTTGCTCTTCCCATTACCTGACACCAGGCAGGTGTCCAGCAGAGCAGTGTTACCATTTTCCTTGCATGGTTGCTTAATTTGCACAATTTACACTGGTAGGGCTACATTGTCCAACCATAAAACTAGGGGTTTCCAATATTGGCATCAAGCTGTCACCAGAAATTGACCTGGGTGAACATGACAACTGTGGCACTGTCTTGGATACAGTCACCCTGCTACTTTATGAACATTATTTTCTAAAAGGTAATGTTGAAAGTAGCACTCTCCCCTTCTCATTTTTGTGTTAGAGCATGCTATTTATTCCCTTTTCTTTGCAATTGAACAGTATGGCTATTTTCCCCAAGCTGGAAGAATACTTTGAAGTGGTGCTCTTCTAAAATGATTCCTTCCTTTGACCCTTTTGATTATAGTGGAAAAACAGAATGGAACTTTCATATTTTTCCTCTTAGTCCTGCTGTTTCAGTACTGAATGAGTATAACTGCTTCTGTTTAGTGAGGCGTTGCAAAAGGAAATTGTTCCAATTATTTTCTTGCACTTTTCTCTTGATAGGTTTGATTTCATCCTTGATAATATTGGTGGATCCACTGAAAAATGGGCATGTGAGCTCCTCAAAAAGTGGTCAGGGGCTACATATGTCTCTTTGGTAACACCCTTCTTGGTGAATGTGGACAGGCTCGGTGTAGCTGATGGCATGTTACAGACTGGGGTGACAATTGGGACAAAGGCCGTAAAGGTACGTTAGGAAAACCAGGTGGTTTAGCTTCTTCCCATTGCCTCTGTAGGCAACCACGTTCTAGTTTGGTTTGCCTGCTTTGCAGTGGTAACTATGCTGTATTAATGTCTACTTTCTGTTGCAGCACCTTTGTAAAGGGATCCACTACCGATGGGCATTTTTCACACCAAGCGGTCCTTACTTGGATGAAATAGCGACTCTTGTTGATGAGGGCAAGGTATGACCAGATTGATAATTTCATATCCCCTGTCTGCTGAAATACATGCTGCTTTGTTCTGACAAGAGAAAACAGATTGATGAGGACCAAAACGCACGGAGAGTCTGCTGGGGGTGTATAATCAAAAGAACTTTTACAGCTTATTCAGATATTCAGGAAATAACCTGCAGCATGTAGGTAGCTCCCAAAGGGACTACCTAGATGGAGTCTGTACCAAGACCTTTTTACAACCTATCAGATACATACATAGTTTGGAGGAGGGGTGGGGGATCAGGAGGGGGATCATGTAGACAGTTTGCTATAGGCACAATAGGGTAAAACAATAGGATTAAATCCAAGAAGAAAAACCTTTTGGGACGAGCACATTAGCATCTCTAAGGCATGCATGGGGAGCAAGACTTGTAACATGGCTTCCTGATCAGATCAGGAATCCCATCTTAAGTCTAAAACTATTCTTGGAGTGTCAGGCTTTTAGCAGCCATATTATGGAAAAGCTTTTGCTCATTTTGTCCTGGCAGTTCAAACACTTCTGTTATAGTTAAGAAACAGACCATTATCTCATTTGAGGGTCCAAGGAATTGCTGCTCAGCTGCAATCCTGGGATTTCCTAGTCTCCTAGGTTTCTCTCTCTAGCCCATCCGCTTACAGGAAAATGTGCAACTGGAAACCATTTTATTTTTAAATATGTGAAGATGGGTGACTGAAAAGAAAGCAGTTGCAGCACTGTGGAAGCTGCATTTGTCACCTAATGGCTCTGCCATGTTGTTTGCAGAAGAAGAAGACCCTATTCTTTCTTGATCCTGTTCAGATTCCCTGGGTCATGAATAAAATTAAGAATAATTCTTTATAATTTGTTTATTTGATTTAAACCCTGTCATCTTACCACAAAATGGCACTCGGGTCACTCAGATTTTTAAAAGGTAGAATGCTTTAAAGTGCTTCTCATGCATTAGGTGGTTGTGATCCTTGCCACAGCCCCGCAAGGTAAGCCGGTATCATATCCCACCTTGCAGATGCAGCTGAGGCAAAGAAAGAATAGCTTGCCTTGGGCTGCCTCCTGTGATCATGGCAGAGACTAGATCCGAACCAGGACATCTTGATAGATAGATTAGCTACCAAGCCCACTCTAGCATGGCATATTGCGTATATGTGTCTATTTAGTGTAAAACTAAATTTCTAGTCCTGCCCCTTACAATTGGATAGTCGAAATGTTGGCTGGTGGCAAAGATGAAAAACAGCACAGGGATCTTCCTCTTTAGATGAAGAGCAAGCAGCCTCTTGTAGCCGACAGAGCACAATTTCCACGGCCTCCAGTGAAGCCAGAAGCACCCCTGCGTGGCCTTTGACTGGGTGGGCCTGCCTCATTCTCCCACTTGCCATTTGTGTAGTACTTGGAAAACTCTTGAGGCTGCAATAGGAGGAGGTTATGGCTTTAATCCATTTGCATGATACTCTGAGCAGGTGAATGCAAATGCTGTTGAAAGTGTTTGTGGATGGCTGGGAGTACTTTTATCATTAGATTAGTGAAGAGGGTAGAAATGTTTGTGTATTCTTCTGTTCACTCTTTTCACAGATGGCAAGCATTTATGCTTTCCTCATTTGCTTAGATCCCTGTAGAATGATCTCTGTGCACAGTCTTGAGCTGATCCTTTCTTATTTGCATAAAACTACTTTTTTTTTCCTTTTTTCCTGTGCACATTGATAGACATACTGAAGATAATTTCTTCAGCTTCTAGCATACAAGTTTACTACAATTTCTTCAGAATTTTTGGGACCCTGTTTGCCCCATTACAAAAAGAGATTTTGTTGGTGGGGGATTCTGTGGCAGCACCTGGCTTATGAAATTTCTTCGCAAAGGAAGAAAGACTGGTTCCATCCTTGATGGAGTTTAGGTGGACTGTGAAAACATTCTTTATTCACCTTGATTTCAGTGGTCTTTAATATGAAGATTTTGACTGTCAAGGTGTTTGTTTCAATTTGATCATAATCTGTTACATAAAATGCTTGTAGGGGCTAAGGAGGTGTGTAAAATTCTTTAATATGTTACATTAAATGTGCTGCTTAAAAACTGACAAAAGGCAGCATGCCTAAACTTGCAAATTATCACAGCAGATGTATGTATTTATATATTTCATTTCTAAACTGACTCACAGCCAAGTTCTCTGGGCAGTTTACACAGTACATAAAACAGATGATAAAAGTAAAATCAAACATCAGAATATCAGAAAAATATTAAAAGTTTAAAATAGCTAAAAACAGGCAATGGCAAGAATAACAAGAGGTTGGGTGAAAGCTGCCACTCAGTGGGTTCTGTGCATTGTGTTTCCTCGGCTGGTGAAGGAGGTGTGATTTTATTCTCTGATGTTTTCAAACATCAGTGAATAAACTCTTCAGACTGTAGCTGGTCTTCAGAATGTGTAGTGTGGTAATGTTTGACTGTAGGGTCAGAGGTGAGGTAGCTGCTCTTTGCTTTTCCCTCCTGATGTATACTGGCTTCCTGTGGGAATGTCTCCTTTCTGGAAGTGAGGCATTTTGTGATAGATTTTCTTATAAATGTGTGCTTTCATAAGCTACACTTTCAATTCAGGGTGCAAACAGATGCATGGTTAGTATGCTTTCTGCAGTAGTCAGCTTGTTTCAATATTTGGTGCTGACTTTAGGGTTCTGGGAGGGGCAGTCACTGCAGTTCAACTCTCAGAGGAATAATAAAAATGAAGTAGATAGATTGAGTCAGGGAGCAACGTCCATTAAGGCAGAATAAAATGAAATGTCCTGGTGCATAAAAAAGCAAGGTTCTTCTCACATAGCAGAGATGTGAAAATGAGGCTAAACTGTGCAATTGGAACTTGGTCATCTAAGGTTTCATAGCACTGGTCAAGTACAACAAAGGAAGGCAACTATGAACAATTAGGAACGTCTCAGTGGATGGTCTTCTGTAAAACCTTTCTCATTGAAAGAGACCTCTCATCTCCTAGCATTGGGCCAGAGGCTGAAATAACATGCAAGCGAGGATAAATCCTGATTCTGAGTGAAACTTGGGTTAGTCACGTGTCACAAATCCATGTGTTTATTTCTTAATGAGGTAAATTGCTGCGCATGTGTGGTGGGGGAGATGTAGACCATTTTTAACACTAGGCTGTAAGGGAGCTCACTGCTTTTCTATGCTGCTGAGACTACAGTTGTTGCTGTGTTATTCACATGGACATCCTGCCAGGTTCTCACAGCTTGCTTGCTGATGGTGGATGGCATACAGCCGCAGCTTTCCTTTTGTCAGCTCCGCAACCAGCCCTGCTTTTCAGCCATTGGTCATCATGACCAATTTGGAAACTGTTTCCTTGCTTACTGGAGAGCAGCGGAACTTTAAGAATATCCGTCTCCTTGCACAGTTCGCTTGAGTGGGATTCTCCCTTCAGGGTACACAAATTTAGAAGCAGTAGTTTGGATATTTGTCTTGTGGGTCCAAGCCTCTTCTGCAACTGAGAGCATTGCATTAGATCGAACCCATTAGTTTAATTGTTGCTGTACCGTCATAGTCAGTCAAGTGCTGCAGTATTTCAAAGTTCTCTGCAGAATAGTCTTAAAACCATACATTGTCTTGTACTTTCCTGTGCCCTAGTTTTCCCCACTCCCCCAGTAAAGGCCATACTAAAAATCAAACAAGTGCAACAAAATGTTGTATGGAAAGCTGGGGGTGCCAGCTACCCATCTGTGGCTTCTTTCCGGATACTCCTTTCCGTTACTCCTGCTTCCTTCTCTTTTCCCCCTCAGCCATGACTTCACATGCGGTGGCCACTGGGCACATTTTTCCCCAAAAGAATTATTTCTGCAAATCTTGGAGTTCCCCAGGCATGTTTTTTGGGGAAACCCTTGCTTTGGATACCTAGTCGTCATAATTCAGCACTTAACCTGCAACAAAATATAGAAGTGGAACTTTTAAAAACCAATCATAGTATGCAGTGCTCCTGTGTGGGTTTCCAGCTAGTCATGCTGTCTTCTGGAAAACACCATTTCATTGCTGCTCTGCTGCAGATTTCCATTTTCTCCACATGCCAATCAGTCAGCATTACATGACCACCAAGCATGCTGGCTAGAGGTTTTCTCCCAAAACATTTCAGTGAGAAGGGCTAGTTTGTTTTATCTTCTGGAAATTTGACTTCCCCCAAGCCTGCTAATGCCTCCCTGCTCTGCATGGGCAGTGCCATGTTGGCTTCCAAAGGTTCTACCAAGGGAGAAGTGTGTTCACTGCCCGTATGAGACAGTGGCTCAGAGGTCACTGTTGCCAATGGAAGGGTGCATGTAACTGGAACCTGGGCTCAGTATTTTGAAGGTCTTTTCTCTCTCTCTCTTTCAGCCCAGCAGTTCTGTGTGGGTGCATGTAATCCTCTCACTCCCCGTCTTTATCTTTTTAATCTCTCTTCCCTGAACAAGCAACTGGTCTGTGGCTAGGGGGGCTAATGTGCGGTTGTAAACACTTACTGTTTGCATTGTTGAGTTAATCTCCACATACTCCCACGTCACCCTTTGCTGACTTGCTCGGCTGTGTGCACAGGAAGAAATATTTGTCTTAGTCAGGTTGTTTGCAGTAAACAGGGAGCTACATATTGTGCTGGGTACACAGTCAGCCCTTTCAGGTTTATTGAAACAATGGACATGGATCAGCCAGCCAGATAAAGTGTTTAATGGGCCATATTGCTGCAATCATCAATTCCCCCGTTCACGTCGCTGCCTTTCATTGCTGAGGGCCAACAATCCATCAGACCAGAGGTCTGCAGCAGTGCAGCCGAGCAGGCTCGAGTGCGTTGCAGCAACTTCTTAACATTATTTCTAGGCTCCTCTGCAGAAGCGCTCCTTCACCTGCCCTATTTTCAAGATAGTGAGAAGCTGCCCTCTAGAGATTTATCCTGGGAACTACACAACTTTGCACACACAGAAATGCACACGATATATTGCAATGGCATATTGTCTTGTGTGCAGCCATGTCAGTGTGGCCTTCTCAGTCAATGTTCATGTTTAATCACTATTTCTTAATGGGCTGCTTTTATGGGAAAATTCAAAAGCTTGAACTCTTACAGATGACTTTTGGAGAAAGGGCAAAATAAATGTTGTCAGATTATTTCTCAGCAATGTTATGGCCCTCTATTTCCATTCTACACAATCGGTGTAAGCCCAAAATAACAAGGCTAATAAAAAGTGCATCTAAACAAAATTGACTTTGCCAGGAGATAGAAGCTTTAAAAAAAGGCAGTGACCTCATTTAGAAAAAAATGCCACATCTAAGGTTAAGTTATCAAAAAAGCTTTTTTTTTTTTTCAGACTAATGTCCATATGTATTATGACTTGGTACTGAGGGATCCTTTAGAAAGCATTCACAGATAATGCATGTATAGAAACATACGGACATTCTGTAGATGTTGGGCATGTCTCACCAAGAAGTATACTCTTCTTTATAAATGGAAGGAAATAGTCAGAGGACTGCTTATATGCTGCTTATTTTGTGCTGTTTGAGGGCTTCAGAAGCATGTATACAAAGTCAGCTTTGCAAAATCTTTGGCTTCAACATTTGGAGGAGGAAAAAAAGCAAGCAGTAATTTTTCTAAGTGATTGTTTTCAGTGTGTAATGACATGTACTTTTCTGACAGTTCTCACCAGATCCTAGGGATATAATTATTAAAATTCTCATCACTAAAACAGCAAGTTGAAGAGCCATCTAATTTTTTTCCTGTCTGTGTTGACAGATGATTAAAATACATAGTGAGAAAGAAATAATTACAGCCTATGTGATCCAGGGAAAAGTTCAGCCTGGGCCTGTTGGTTTCAGTGCTGGTCTGGGACCCAGGAGGTTCAGCTTGTCCCTGCCCAGCCATGAAGCTCACTTTGGATCCAGCACAGACTTTCAGCCTAAGCTGCCTGACATGGTGATTGTTAGGATAAAATGGAATCCAAGTATAATGTAATAACAGTAACTTCTGCAAGCATTTCTGGCTGGTGGTCTTACTGAGAATACCTGTTCACTCTCAATCTACATGCTTTGTTTGAGCCTTCTGCTCCAGACTGATTGAACAGGATCAATTTTGGACTGCACAACCACTGTAGCAGCAAAACAGTAATGTAAAACTGCAGAAGGTTTTGTTTTGTTTGAGATGCTCAGTTGTTTGGCACTGTTGTGAAATTTGGAAGAGGAGCTTGTGCATGCCTAGACCTTGCTCTCTGTTGGGACCATGTAGTTTTTCTAGTGGCATACTGTTTCTATACTGTTATTCTGGTTTTGGCAGAAACTAGTTCTGTCAAAATACTTGGTTTTGAGATTGTAGTGCTTAAAAAACTAATACAACATCCAGAAATACCTGCAGGATAACCACTGGCAATGAAAGTGATGGAATAATTATGAGGCAACATAGACATTTTCATCTTCAGCTATTTTCTGATATTCTGGTTCAGAATAGAGCTGCCAGGCTGTTGATGGGGACTGGGCGTTATGCTCACATGACTCCAGTCCTCCGTCAGCCCTTCTGGGCCCAATTCAAGGTGTTGGTGATCACTTATAAAGCCCTAAACAGCTTGGGTCCTGGCTACCTGAAGGAGCGCTTACGTCCATATATGCCCGCCCACCCCCTGAGATCAGCGGGAGAGGCCCTTCTCCGGGAACCTTCCGTGAAGGAAATTAGGAGGATAGGTACTCGGAGGAGGGCTTTCTCTGCGGTGGCGCCCAATCTATGGAATGCACTCCCCAGAGAGGTCCGCCTGGCGCCGTCGTTATTTGTTTTTCGGCACCAGACGAAGACCTTTTTATTCAAGCGTCATTTTAATTGTTAATGTTATTTTTATTTTAAAGTTTTTGGCCAGGGTGACTTATTTTATACAGTTATATGTATTTTATATTGTTATTTATGGATTTTAATTTATTTATTTGTAACCCGCCCCGAGGCTTCGGCGAATGGGGCGGCCTAGAAATTTTCTAAATAAATAAATAAATTCTGGGTGAGAGTGCTGTTATGTAGCTGAAGTGGCTCCATCCATCTTCAAGAGGGAGATATTGATATGCTTCTGGGAAAGACCAAGATCTGCAGTACAAGAAAAATATTTAGGAGTTTGTAAAACAAACATTGGGAAGAGAGTCCCACTGACTCTGGGAGGAAAATTAAGGTGGGACAGGAAATGGAAGTGTGTTTTGGAGGAGAGCGCTGCTGAATGACTGGATCCATTAATGGGAGGTTATGTTGCAGACAGGGATGTGGCGTTCAGGCTGGAATCCAGTTCTCTTGCTGGACTTCTTACTTTCAGTCCCAACCAGGAGGTGAGCTGAGTCCACAAATGTTCAGAAACACTAGCAGCTTCCTTGCACAAAGTAGTCAATGCTCACAAGTCACAGGTGTGGAAGCAGAGGTGTGTGCAAGCCAGCCTTGTGGATGCGCTTCCTCCTGGACCCCCACGTTTGGCAAGACACAGACTTAGGGCAGAGAAAAAGCAGACTGAAGTCCAGGGAGCTGAGCCAAAAAATTACAACAGATTCCCTTCTCCAAACCAGGTTCCGCTCATGTTGCGTTGCATATTCCATTTAATTTAGTTAATAGTCATTGTACTTTCCTAAACTATTTTAAGGATATAGGTATTTTGTGAACTGCCCAGAGAGCTTTGGCTGTTGGGAAGTATAGAAATTAACCAGCTAGTGTTTTTCTAAGTCTAGCAGACCTAGACATTAAGTCTGGCAGGTCAGTTGTGCAGTTGTGGGGAGGGCTGGAGTGGATGCTGATTCTTAGAATGCAAAATGGCACCCATCTGCTTTCTGTGTACCTTCCCAGTTTTTTTACTTTTAGTATCTGTGGCAAATATACAATGGCACAAATACTTAAAGTTCTATCCCTGTAGCCCCAAGGAATCTCACCAGATCAAAAAAATATTAATTGCCCCTAAGTATTTATTCAAGGAACAAGTGTTTGAGAGATTGTATCCGTTCTGCCCTTGATGAGCTCCTCCACTCAAAATGTTTGAGTCACCAGGGATTCTTTGTAGATTTTTCAATTTACTTAAATATACCTAATTATATTTCTGGTCCTTTTCCAGTCCTTCGCAATGTTTGCCTGCATGATTGTGGAACACATGAAGGGAAATCGTGTGCTCTGTTGCTTGCAATGTGATGTTATTGCTCTGGATGTGCTCTATTTTTCCTGGAAGTGCATAGCTACTATAGGACAGCTTGTAAGGCTGCTAGAGTATCTACACCTTCCTAGGCTAAAGACCAATTTTATGCTCCCTGAAAAGGCTTATCTTTTATCAGCTGTGTAGGTTTGTGCTACTATAGATAAAAGCCTTGCAGATAATAGTATGTATTTTTTTCCTTTGTAGATACATCCAGTTATTGATCAAGTTTTCTCCTTTTCTGATATTCCCAAGGCCTTCCAGAAAATGGAAGAAGGGCATGCTCGTGGAAAGACTGTCATCGATGTAATTAATAAAAAATAATATCTGCACTTATTTGAATGACATTTAACTCCTAGTTGATACTTGAAGTAACTTAGTGCTTACCCTGGAAACTTGGTATAAATATTGATAGTCATTCCATTCAAACTACTTATTTTGAAATGCTTTTTAAGTCTGGATGGTAATGAGAGATGGAAAAAGCCATCTGGTGCTAAGTACAGTATTTGATTCCTTGCCTCACCCCTTTTAACATTTCAAAGGCAACTTCCAGGATAGTTTTGCCACAACCTCTTTCAATGTTGCTCTGGGGACAGCAGAGTAGAAACGCCATATACTTCACACACATGGCCAGCACTTTCTTACCACATATTAATGTATGTACAGGAGTGGGGTGAGAAGGATGGAAAAATCCTTAACATATTTACAAGGTGCTTTAAAGTTGGAGGCTTTTTGGAATATTTAAGAAGTTATGTGTAAGTACTTTTTAAAAAATGCTATCCTGTTTCTGTAGTTTCAGTGGCATCAACAGTATATACATTGTTAGGTACTCTACATCCACAGCAATATAAGAAATAGTTGATAGGTATCTCCCCTTCCTCTCCCTGATGGCAATTCTATTCCGGAAGTTTACATAACGTAGCCAAGTTAAAATGCACTTATGTTTCCAGCTTTATGGCATATGAAAGGCTGCTACAGTGTGCTTCATTCTCTGTGCACCATTTTCATCATGCTTTGCATAGCACCCTTACATTGCCTCTGGAGAAACTGGCTCCTGCTCTGCATGTAATAGCAGCAGCTTGCTGTTCTTGCTGCGTTGCTTCTTCCTGGACCTTTTGCTAGAACCCTGAGCCCAGATTTGGGGGGGGGGGGGACAAACCACACACACACAGCATAGATCATCTAAGTAATATTTATTTGTAAAATACACCTTTACTCAATGGGCACAGAAACATTTTCTGTAAGTACTACACCTTAAAACCAAAAGCGTTTCTATTTCAAAGAAATAAGCATGTTTCTAAACAATCTGAAAACATTGTAGGTAAATGTTAACTACTGCAATAATTTGTAAAGCAAAGGAGTAAGAAATGGGGATATCTTAAAATGTAGATTGTTGACAGCAATTTCTAATTAGCAATGGAAACTATTATTGCCCATGTGAGTCAGTGGAGAATTATTAAAACAACAGGACATTTACCTGTAATACGTAGTTTACATCAGATTGTTAAAAAAGCATGGTAGCAGGAATAACAGATTTTCACACTGCAAAAAGATAACAAAAGGTAGTGCTGCAAAAGTCACCTTGTTTTTTCCTGGAAACTGTAGTTTAGCCAGAGAGTCTTCAATAGCAGGTAGTATTGGCATTTTTTCTAGTTAGAAATGATTGTTTCATGTTCTCCACTTCTGATACTGAGTGTTTGTGTTTCCTAGAGTATGATACTCAAGGTGGCCCATGTTTAGTTGGACTGAGATTCTTTAGGGTTTGTAGTACAGGACAGTAACAAAATTTTCTTCAGCATGAATAGAGAGAGGATGGAAATTAGGGAAAAAGTGAAATCACAACAGAACTGTGTGTACAGATGCTGCACAAAATGTTGCAACAAAATGTATGTGCAAAATGCAGAAAATGAGTTCCTACAGGAGAAATTGTAGAGCAAATAAGTTGGGAAGCAAACAGTTGGTGTTTGGAAATAGGGAGTCTAACAGTTTTTAAATTCATATTATTTGTTAATATAAACATCAACATGTTTAAAAACAAGTTTAAAAAGTGAAAAATAACATTTGTCATTAACAAAGACAATACTTCTAAGTTGTGTGTAAAGGCAGCCATGCAGATATGAACTATTTCTGAAAAGCTCAACTGGTATCAAATGTGTATGCATCACATATTTGTCTATGATATAAAACTACATTACAGGCGTTCAAACATATATTTACCTTACTAAAATATTTGCAGTGCAGTAATTTAATTTTTTAAAATCACCTAACAGGATCTGAATCATTTTATGCTTACACAGTTCATTATTTTGGGTACAGTTGGAGTACTTACAGGTGAGTTTTTAGTAAAAATGTTTCCAGTGCAAAAAAGGTAGATTCTGCTTCAGCATGGAGCCTAGAGCACTAGAACATTAAAAAGGGTTTCTGGAAATAATTTAAAATTGCACATTAAATATAATGAATAACTTGTAACAAATGCATTTTAACCTTTGATGACTAAAGAACACAACCAGCTACCTTAATGACCATCAGGTTTTAATCCAGAACATATATACATAACACACATCAAAGCACTCTGTGAATCTTCATGCAGTTCCATGCTGGTCCTGGCCCCTGTGTGCCACCCGTTGTCCTCCATGTGCCAAAAAGGAAAGTCTGAAGCAAGAAGCCTATTCTTTCTATATAGGGTTCACATCCCATTAAAGAGCCCAGAACTATATGGGGAGCCTACTCCTATAGCACAAGCTCCCAACTTCAATTTTTCCCTGCCTACAGAGGGCTGCGTGAAAGGAACCAGTAAGCACAAAGCTCCCTCTCACGTGAGTGTAATTGTGGGAGGGTGCATGCCTGCATAGGCCTATACTCTGATGGGCAAGGGGTTCTAAATTCGCTTTGGTATGTCTTGAAATTACTGTAAAGATAGAACATGCATTTGCCACTGTCCATGTAGTCTTCTGGATGGGTCTTGTTCTCAGTCTGTCTCCTGCAGCAGAATCACTTTAAATGACCAGCGGCTCCCAGTACTGCGTCAGCTTGTCTTCATTGACTGAATTGACAATGAGATGGTTTTGATCATAGTGTTTCCCCCCTAAAATAAAATGTTCATTATGTGAGAATAGCACGTGGGATCCAAAGACAGCCTGTCATCCCTAGGACTTGTTCCATTTTTAGGTTCTGCCTTTCCTCTTTCTAACTTGATGCCTTCCTGTACAATTATACTATTGCTTGTATCCATTTTGGTCTCTGCTTTAATCAGGGCCGGCATGATAGCCATACAGCTTTTTTAAAAAAGAGTGTTTAACTTGGGTTGAACTGGGACATACGTTTGCCAAATTTTATCCTGTCTTATCTTCCATCATGGAACGCAAAGTGACATATAAGGCGTTCTCAAGTGGATCTCCCATCCACACTTTAACTAGACTCATGTCAGCTTAATTCCACCAAGGATGCTTCACCATATACCTTCAAACCAAGCTATGACACAATTGATGAGAATATTACATTTCAGGCTTTAAGTGCGCGCGTGCACACGCGCTCGCTCGCGCTCTCTCTCTCTCTCTCTCTCTGTGTCTGTGTCTAGACATCCTCATAATCTGTATTCTTGAATCTATTACAAGCATTTACTCAACATGAGCATCATTAGAAAGGAGGAATTTCATATTAAATGTTTACTGGTCAAGATGGTTACTACAGTGGTTCTGCTGAATGCAAACCTCACAATGCAACAATAAGAAACCCATATACCTTGTGGCCAAAAGGTGGCTATAAATATGTTAATAAGATAAAAATGCAACTGCAATATTGTTAGTTACATATTAATATCTATTATCTATTAAGCCTATGGCAACATTTAGAAGTGTGTGGGAGTGGGTTAGGGGAAGCATTAGAAATTTAAGAAAGTCTTATTGATGCCAAAATTAGTTAACAAAATATTGAACAATTTATCTAAATGTTCAATTTTATATTTCTGTTACTTAAAAATAAAGAATAGTGGACAGTGCACAATATTTAAGGTTGTACTTGGAGGTTCCAGGTGATGCCAAGTTACTGGTTAACAGTTTTTCATGGTGTCTATGAAATACCACTATGTGGCCACTTAACCTGGAGGTACGTCTCACTGAACTCATGAGGACATGTGTCTAAGTAGACACAGAATTGTGCTGCTACTGTATTACCAAAATAATTCACTGCATCCTCAAGAGGGCATCATTACACAGTTCATGAACTACTACAATCTCCTATACTAGAATAGGAGTGAATGATCTGACAAATGCTTTTCTTGTAGCCTTTACAGCGCTACTAGACATCCTGCTGGTTTTATAATATTCGTATTCTAAAAATTCTGGCATGTCTGGAAGATATTCAGTAACTATTAGCTCTGTTATTTGCAGAATACTACACTACACTACTTGAATACAGTGGATGACTAGATCTTGCTAGAATGATGGAATTTTTTTCAATATATGTCCACAGAAATTTGCTATTGATGTTGAAGTAAATCATGTTCCTGAGTGTTTTCACTGATTGTCCTGCTATATAGTCAAAAACAAACTCTTATCTGCCAATTCACATTAGATATAAAGACTCAAAAAGTATATCCTAATGGCCCAGTTTGGAACAAATGCTCTGAAAATGGGCCTAGCTCTGCACTAACTAAATAAGAAGTTGGCAGCAATTAGAATGTGTTCAGCTATTACTGAATGGCACAAGTGGAATTTGTGCACTATATTTTGCACAATCCTGATGGACAGACTTCTGGTGTGTGAGATCTATTTTGCTTTTTATTAAAACTCAAAGGTTCATCAAACCAAAGCTAGGTGCAAAGTACTGCCTTATAGGAGGAACTACTCTTAGAACTGAGGAACAAGGTGCCCTCTTGTGTAAACGTTGAACACAAGAATTTGCTTTTACTACCAGAATTGAGCTCAGTCCTGTCATGCTAAAATCCATTCTTGGTTGTCTTCCAAAGCTTTCTTCCACCTCAGCAGCCTAATTACTTAGAGGAGGGAGACTTGTTCCTTTTGTTAAATGACCTGGAGTCAGAAAGCTTTAATAACCTACTGCAAAATTACCGAGATGTCTACCAGTGAATCAAAAAACTATCTTCTGTCCACTACTGAACTAAATGGGGTAATGTATTTCTTCCTACTTATCTCACATAAGTTTATACCATCTTAGAGCTTTTCATACTGCCACCAATATATACTTACCTTTAATATCTAATATCAAGTGTGGTTTCATCTTGCTGAAGATTCTGCCATCTGGTTTAATACTCCAGATTTGTTTTTCCTCATTCTGCTGAAGTGCCA